GAATAGACATCGACGATAACCCCCCAGGAAAAAAGAAGAGGAGAATTAAGAAGTTGATACCCCCCCAAATAAGTCACGACGTGTCGAAAGAAAAAACAGTGTCGGACCTAAAGAAGATGAAGCGGTAAGAAAGGAAGGCCCACAAAGTATACCCGTGTCTTTAAGATTCTGAACCTAAAGAACACGAAAGAGTCTTGATTCTTGGAGTATACCAACCGTTGCGGGAAGTACAAGAGGGAAAGCAGCTCCTAGTCATAGAGAAGAAGAATGAGGTGTCGACCCTCCCCCAAAGAAAGCGACAAAATAGCAGTACAACGGAGGGGAGAAAATCACATGTGAAGGACGTGTTTGCCACCTAACAATATAATAAGACCCTAAAGAGAGATGTAAAAAAAAATATACTGTAAGCTCCATCCCCCAGGAAAGACGGAAAGAAAACGGGTAAATAGCAATTGCACTAAGTGTAACGTAAGACGCAAATGTGGAATAAGCTCGTAAAAGTATGAAAGGGTATACAACGCCGCAGAAGAGAAAAAGGGGAAAAGAACACCCAGATGCACACTACTACGGAAACAGAATTTACCTAAGTTATGCGCAGTGTGTCCAGGAGGCTACGATAGTAAATGATCCCGACTAGGAATTGTGCAAACTCTTAAACCCCCCCGCAGGATGATCACACCCCTATAGGGGTTGTAGCCCAACATCGGCTCTAGCGCATCTCAAATTTATATGCAGAAAAGAAGTAACTTCAAGGGGCCTTGCTGAGGAACAAGCAACAAAGACCAATCCCCCCCCTCACCCCCTAAATATCAAGCAATAATTCATACCCCCCCTTCCCCCCCCCCAAAGTAAGATTTAATAGGATCAGAAAGCCCGACGCCATAAATTGTTAATAGCCCCGCGTACCAGATTGATCAAGATTAACGACCTCCCCCCCCCCAAAAAGGAAGCAAAGTTGGCAAGCACTATTAGACTGAGTCAGCTCGTAGGAGCGGAGATGTGCACTCTCCTATAAGAATTTAGACAAAACTGACCCCTGTAAGGACCCTGGGAAAAATCAAAGAAGACGATAAGAGAAAGTAAAAGAGGAAGAAGCACTAATCATTGCCCCCATAGGGCGCATACCTAAAGCGCGCCCCCCCCAAATCCCACATTCCCCGGGTTTTTTAACAAGCTGCCCCCCCGGTAGAATCCCCCCCCCAAGTCAAGTTCTTCACCCCCCTCCCGTCCATGGTCTTTAACCGCCCCCCGTGTTTTGAATTGGTGTGTGTGAATTTTGGTTTCGCCCCACGACACAATCCTCCCGGAAAAATTGAAAAAACGGCCCCCCCTTAGGATGAAGAATAAAGCAAGGAAGAATTTCACATCTTAACAAATACCCCTTCCCCCCAAGTAGTCTCGGTGTCGTGACGAATAATGTTGGTAGAGGTTAGGAAACATCAGCAGAAGTGTATAAAAGAAGTCTGCAACATTGATTATTAGACCTTAATAAAAGATACAGGGAGTTCCAGGATAAGAAAAATCCGTAAAGCAGCGACTAAGCTGTAGCCAATCTTAATCCCCCCCCTACCCCCCCCAAACATAATGATAAACGAATATACAGGATTAGAAAGGTGTGCAAAGACAAGCTTGGAAGAAACCATACCATAACATACAAGGAGGGATATGAAGAAAGGCGCTTTTACAAACCGCCCAGTTCCTGAGCCGGATAAATAAAATACAAACTAAGAAACCCTCCCCAAATTAAGATATAAGATACTTCTCGAACACCCCTTTGACAAGTAGAAATAAGAATAAGAAAATTAAATCTGATCTTAGATCATGGACAAAAAAATTTCAGATAAGAGACTTAAATATAACAAAAGAAGAAACAAGTTAAACACCGGGAGACTGTGTGAACACGCTTAGTGCAGGAGACCTAGGTCACTGCTAAACCCAGGGGAGAGAAGGGCCGCCTGCCACCATCAAGAGTGTTGACATTTAAATCTCCTGTTTTGGACCGGGCGCAGTGGCTCAAGCCTGTAATCCCGGCACTTTGGGAGGCGGAGGCGGGGATCACGAGGTCAAGAGATCGAGACCATCCTGGTCAATGGTGAAACCCCGTCTCTACTAAAAATTACAAAAAATTAGCTGGGCATGGGGCGTGTGTGCCTGTAATCCCAGCTACTCAGGAGGCTGAGGCAGGAGAATTGCCTGAACCCAGGAGGCGGAGGTTGCGGTGAGCCGAGATCGCGTCATTGCACTCCAGCCTGGGTAACAAGAGTGAAACTCCGTCTCTAAAAAAAAAAAAACTCCTGTTTTTATATATGGCTAAAATGATCGTAAATGAAGTCAACAGACAAATGGTTGACTATGAAACAACATAAGAGGCGAAGGATATGAATAAGCCCAAATGGTCAACAAGCCTGGGGAGAGACCAGATTCACTAGTGTCAGGGAAATGCAGTTTATAGTAGCCATGCAAGGTCTTCATAGATGTATCCACGTTGAACACCCCTGGGGAGGAGGCGGGAAGGGGGGATGTGAACACTGCTAGTAGAAATGTGCATTGTGGCTGGGCACGGTGGCTCACGCCTGTAATCCCGGCACTTTGGGAGACCGAGGTGGGTGGATTACCTGAGGTCAGGAGTTTGAGACCAGCCTGGCCAACATGGTGAAACCCCATCTCTACTAAAATATTAGCCGGGCGCGGTGGTGTGCACCTGTAGTCCCAGCTACTTGGGAGGCTGAGGCAGGAGAATCGCTTGAGCCTGGGAGATGGAGGTTGCAGTGAGCTGAGATCATGCCACTGCACTCCAGCCTGGCCAACAGAACAAGACTGCCAGAAGGAAGTGAGGGAAGGAGGGAGGGAGGGAAGGAGGGACGGAGGATTGTGAGCATGTGTTGTAGAAAAGCTATTTGTTAGCTAGGCGCAGTGGCTCATGCCTGTAATCCCAACTACTCGGGAGGCTGAGGCACAAGAATCACTTGAACCTGGGAGGTGGCGGTGGCAGTGAGCCAAGATCACACTACTGCTCTCTAGCCTGGGCAACAGAGCAAGACTGCATCTCAAAAAAATTCATTGATATGTGATTTTTTTTTTTTTTTTTTTTTGCTTTACTTGTTCAGAGAAACTGCTCTAGTAACTACAGAAATGATCCCTGACAGTATGGTCTTAACCTGTCAACATTTAATTACACGTGCCTCTGACCTGCCACAGGTGTGATACTGCAGTTCATGTGCAGAGATGTTCATGGTCAGAAAGACTGGAAGCAGATGACCAGGTAGCCATTGGGGCACGCAGGAGCTTGCACTAGCTGATGCGGAGGCATTTCCAGGAGGAATCCTTGAGAAAGGAGTGTCAGAAGCACAGTCCCACTTTGCAAACAAAACTGTGGCTGAGAAAAAAGCTCTGTGTCTGTTAAAAGTATACATAGAGGCCTGTAATGCCAGCACTTTGGGAGGCCAAGGCAGGCAGATCACCTGAGGTCAGGAGTTTAAGACCAGCCCGGTCAGCATGGTGAAACCCTGTCTCTACTAAAAATACAAAAATTAGCTGGGCATGGTGGTGTGCGCTTGTAATCCCAGCAACTTGGGAGGCTGAGGCAGGAGAATTGCTTGACCCTGGGAGGCAGAGTTTGGGATGAGCCAAGATTGTGCCACTGTACTCCAGCCCAGGCGACAGAGACCCTGTCTCAAAACAACAACAACAACAACAAACCAGCCAGGCGCAGTGGCTAATGCCTGTAATCCTAGCACTTTGGGAGGCTGAGGCGGGTGGATCACAAGGTCAGGGGTTCAAGACCAGCCTAGCCAACATAGTGAAACCCCGTCTCTACCAAAAATCCAAAACTTAGCTGGGCACGGTGGTGCATGCCTATAGTCCCAGCTACTCAGGAGGCTGAGGCAGGAGAATCGCTTGAACCTGGGAGGCGGAGGTTGTGGTGAGCCAAGATTGCGCACTGCTGCACTCCAGACAGGCAACAGAGCGTGACTCCATCTCAAAAAGAACAAAAAACAAACCCATATAGAATATCCATGTATATATATACAAATTACATGCTTGTGTATATCTTACATGTCTATATGTTTGTATATCTCCCAACAGTAGGTGTTGACCCTGTGTGTACCTGTGTAGTTGACCCTGTGCGTATCTGAGTAGTTCTGTGAGAATGCAGAAGACTGTGGAAGAAAATGCTGGAACGGGGCGCGTGCTGTTGCAGAGGGAGAGGGAAGGGCATGGAATGCCGAGGAGAAAGTGAGGAACAAGGCCACACTAATAGCACAGATTTGATGTGTAACTAGTTGGGAATATGTGTTTAACGATCTTGTATGTTTGTAAGTGTAAATGTAGAAACAAACTTCTGCTTATTTTTGGAAACTTATGAAACCTTTAAACTATTAAAAAGAAGGTCTCTGTGCCAGTTGATGGACCTGCTGCTTTGCTGGATTTCTGGAAGGAATTCAGTTTTCCGTGGCAGGTACTCAAGAACCTGTGGGCAGCAGGCCACCCAAGCGGTGCTCACGTGGGTTCCTGCGGGAGACACCATTGGAGGGCTGGCGTGGGCAGCCTGCACCCGGGGGCTCAGCCCTGCTTAGGGCACTGGGGCAGCAGGGGAGGGGGCATCTGGGGCAGGAGGAGCCAGCTGCATACCCACCTAGGTCTAGGAGGAGCCCTCTGGCTGCCTGCAAAGAGGAGCCGGCCGCGGCTCGAGGAAGGGTCCCCTTTAGGAGGTGACTGATGAGCGCATTTCCTTGTGTTTAGTAACTGGAAAGAAAATGGGTAACACAAGCCCCTGGTGATGCGGGGCAGGTGACATTTGTGAGCTGAGAGGAGCTGGAGAGATCACTAAGCCCCTTTCCATACACAGGAAACCCAGGGTCTGGAGGGTGAAGGCCCGAGAGCCGGGACACACTCCACCCTGGGACACTTTTCCTCCCGAGTGACCTGCTTTCCAGATCAGCCGAGTGAACGAGCAGTTTAGAGAAATGTCCTCATATGATTTTTTTTTCCTCCCATAGAACTGAACCCACAAGGGAGAGCAACGGAAAGGCAGATTCCAGGCCGGTGGGCATGTCTCCTGATGGGGATTCTCCTCCCTCCCGTGTGCCTCAGGCACTTCACTTTTCTCCGGAGGAAAGCGATTCTACTGTTTCCAAAAGCACCAGCACAGAAGCGGTTCAGGAGGAAGCCAGGCCCGGTGGAGACGCAGCCCCTACTGAGGTGGGCAGAGCGGGCGCAACTGAGTTCTGTCGGCTGAGATTCCTAGAGGCTGCTCAGGAAGCCCCTGGCACCCAGGGCTGTGGCTGGCGGAGTTCCCTGCCATGCTTCACCCTGAGGCCGGTGCCTCCGTGCCAACCAGCCCAAGGGGAGGCAGTCAGGACTTCAGGCCTCCAGGAGAGAAAAAAGTGACACCTTTGCCCTGTATTTGACTGAGGCGAGGGTCAGGAATCAAAGCTGAGAAAGTGGGAAGCAGGCTGGCTTCGGTGGGCGGGTATGGATGGGGAGGTGGGCGGCAGTCAGGGAGGCACGGCCCACCCTGTACCGAGCCTCCCCCCACCGAGGCCCAGCCCTTACTCCCTGGCTTTCCAAACCGCCAGCCCACGTGGGACGTGAGCAAAGCACACATTTTCCCAAGTGGTTGCCAGAAACATGCTTGACTCTGCTCTTAACCTTGGTTTTGCACCCAGGCTCTTCTTGTAGATATCAAACTGGACCCACTCATGGTCACCACAGATGCTGCAGGCCAGCCCCGCGTTGACCTGTCTCTCATCGACTTCTGCAATACCCCAGAAGCAAACGTGCCTATGAAATCTGAAAGCAGGCCTCTGATCGACCTCATGATAAACACCCCAGACATGAATAAAAATGTGGCGAAACCTTCACCGGTGGTGGGACAGGTGAGAAGTGGCAGGTGGTTCACGTTAACTCAGCCCTGAGTTTGTCCTCCTAAGGCATCGTGGGACCCTCGAGAGTGGCTGTTGAATCCTCTCGGCTACACAGCTCAGGGCAGGACAGACCTTCAGCAGCCTGAACTTCTCAAAGATCAGCTGCTTCTGAGGTGCCCTGCCAGGAACCCGCCAGCTCTTGTTGAGCAGGGACCACCTGTCCCACCCATAGATCCCAGGGCCGGATGTGGGACAGAGGAGTGTGCGTGGTGGGGGCCTGGGTTCCTCCTCATGTGTCCTGTCTCCTTCCAGTTTCTCAGACGTGGCCCAGAGTGCACCCAGAGTACTTTTCAGTGCACCTGAGCCAGGGTGACTGAGCTGTTGTGCTGGCTCAGGCAGCCAGTCCTCTGTGCGAGGAGGGGGAGGAAGGGAAGCCCCGGCCCCGTCTGTGCTCACCTCCTCCACTCTGCTCTCTTCCAGCTCATAGACCTGAGCTCCCCTCTGATCCAGCTGAGCCCCGAGGCTGACAAGGAGAACGTGGATTCCCCACTCCTCAAGTTTTAAGCAGAACCACATCCTTTGCCTTGAAAGAATAGCCCTAAAGAGGTTTCCAACCCTCGGGAAGAAGTTTTAGGCTGGGTGTGGCAGTTTACACTTGTAATCCTAGAACTTTGGGAGGCCAAGGTGGGCAGATGACTTGAGCCCAGGAGTTTGAGGCCAGCCTGGGCAATATAGTGAGACCCCTGTCTCTACAAAAAATATAAAAATTAGCCGGGCGTGGTAGCACATGCCTGTAGTCCCAGATACCCAGATACTCATGTGGTAGCACATGCCTGTAGTCCCAGGCAGAAGTGGGAGGGTCACCTGAGCCCAAGGAGGTTGAGGCTGCAGTGAGCTGTGATTGTGTCACTGCACTACAGCCTGGGCAACAATGTGAGACCCTATCTCGGAAAAAAAAAAAATAGAGAGAAACATGTTTTAGTAGACATTTTATTTGCAGAAGAAAAATAAGCCTAAAGGTATTCCCTGTGCTGGAGAGGGTGGGCTGAGGGACTGGGGTCAGCGCTGACCACCCAAGGCCTCTGCTGCCCACAGCTGTCCTCTCTGCCACTGTCGGCTGGAATGTGAAGCTTAAGTCACTCTAAATTAGGGATTTTCTTTTACATGTTTTGTGTGTAAAATACCAAGTGGCTATTTTTAAAGTTGTTTGTATAAAAAGTTAAATATTCTAGATTTACGTTAAATTTTAAAATAAATGGACTTACTAAAGCATATCTTGATTTTTAAGCATATCTTGATTTTTAAGCGTATCTTGATTTTTAAGCATATCTTCATTTTTAAGCGTATCTTGATTTTCACACATGCATGGCTGTTTCTGTCACCCTAAGCAGTAAAACTACGATCTAGATTCAAATGCTTTCATAAAAGTGATTTTCACAAATTAGTAAAAATTGGTGTCAGTGCTGACCCAGGCCTGCCCCAGATGCACGGGTCCCCAGGTCTGGGGCGAGCCTTAGAAACTGCATTGTTAATAGACACACAGGTGATTCTGACTCGATGGCCCTCGAAGCACACCTTGAGAAGAGGCTGCCCTGGACACTGAGGTGATGGACGCCATTTGCCGGGCAGGCCTCAGGGAGGACCCCTCAGCTTTGCTCAGCAGGGGCCCAACAGGGTCAGCGGGCAGTGTCAGGACCTCCGTTCTCTCCTTCCAGCGAGTTTATGAAGACCCTGCCGTGGGCCAGGGGCTTTTCTGGGCATGGAATAGGACAGTGGACAGAACACAAAACCCCTGCCCCACACAGCTCACAGTTAAAGGCTTGAGTGCTGAGTATGCTTGGAGTCAAACTTTGTAAAATATTTGAAGATACTTATTCTGAGTGGAATATGAGAGACTGTGGCCCGTGACATCATAGTCCCAGGAGATCCTGAGAACATGGGCTTGAAGGGGTCATGCTACAGTTTAGTTTTGTGCGTTTTAGGGAGACATAAGAGATAAATCAATACATTTAAGATGTAACATTGGTTCCGGAATGGTGGGAAAACTAGAAGGCAAGGTGGAGCTTCCAGGTCATAGGTGGCTTCAAGGATTTTCTCGGACGCGGGTAGTGGCCCACACTTGTAACCCCGGCACTTTGGGAGGCCGAGGTGGGTGAATCACTTGAGGTCAGGACCGCGAGACCAGCCTGGCCAACATGGTGAAACCCCGAATCTACTAAAACTACAAAAATGAGCCAGGCGTGGTGGCGCGTGCCTGTAATCCCAGCTGCTAGGGAGGCTGAGGCAGGAGGATCGCTTGAACCTTGGAGGTGGAGGTTGCAGGGAGCCGAGATCGCGCCACTGCACTCCAGCCTGGGCAACAGAGTGGGACTCCGTCTCTAAAATTAAATTAAATTAAATTAAATTAAATTAAATTAAAATATATTTTTGGGGTAAAATACTTCGGTATCTTTCGGGGCCTGCTATCTGCCAGGCCGGTGTCGTATTGCTACGGAGAGCTCGCCCAGCCAGTGTTAAGTCTGTTTTGATGTCAACGCCGGTCCCCATTCCAAAGGGAGGAGGGTCTGACGAGGCGGGTCCCCTCCGGCCTCTCCCCAGGGACGCCCTGGGCACAGAGGGGGGCCCCATCGGCTGGCTGGGGGGCTGAGGATTTTATTTTCGGTTTGCAGCGCAAAAGAAGAGCAATGAGGCCAGGACGCGGATGGGGACGGCGAGGCAGCGGCGCCAATAAAAGCCGGCCACTGGCGGCCCGGCAGGGTCTCGGCGCCCCGCGACCGGCGGACCCGCCGTGGCGAGCGCGGCCGGGGGTTCGGGGACCGCCTCCGCTGGGCCGGGGAGGGCCGGACGGAACGCGGGCGCGCGGGCGCGGCTTCCGGCGGGCCAGGAGCGCGGAACGTGCGTCCGGGGCGGGACTTCCGGCGAGGCGCGGAAGCCGCGGTAGTTGCCGGTGAAGGTGAGCAGCGGGAGGATGCAGGCGGCGCGGCACGTCGTGTGCGCCCTGTCCGGCGGCGTGGACAGCGCCGTGGCCGCACTGCTGTTGAAGCGGAGAGGTGAGGCAGCCGAGGCCCCCGCCCGCCCCCGAGCGAATGTGCCCCAGAAAACCTGTCCCCGTCCCTCGTGGCCTGGGTCAGGCCGCCTCCCTCCCCAGGTCGGCGGGAGGAACCCGGTCCTCTGACCTCGGCCCCTCGCCCTCCACCTGTTTGGTCGGAGATGTGCGCGGCTGCAGCTCCGACCACCCGAGAGCAGTTGGCGCGCCGCTCCCCACCCGTGCCCACCCCAGGGAAAAGCCAGCCAGCCGGCCGGCCGGGGTGGGGAGGGGAGGGTTTCTCACGAGTCTGCGGCGTCCGCAATCGCCCGTGAGGCCGCGGACACGGGGAGGGGAGCTGGGATCGCCGGGGCCGGAGGCCTGACCTCTGCGCGCGCTGTGGCCGCTCGGTGGGAGCTCCTGTCCTCCCCGCTCAGCAGACGGGCACCTGCCGCGCGGCGGGTCTGCTTGTTCGGTGCCTCCTGGGTTCTCCGCTCGCTGGAGGTCAGACTTTTCCCCAGAAGCATCGGCATTGCCTCTGGGCATCTCAACGGAGCCCCACAGGTGCTCAGAATTCCTCGAGCCCAGCGCTGAAATGAGCACCTGTTTAGCTTCACCTGGGTGGCTCCCCGCGGGAGGCCGCATTCAGAGTAACGTTTGTGGAGCTCCGCTTTGCGCCATCTTTGCTTCCTGATCTCGGGCGAGTTAGTTAAGCCCTCCCATGTCAAATTCGACTAACACTGCCTCACAGGGTGACGGGAGGGCTTAGATGGTTTACTACGTATTGGTGGGTTTACCCCCGTGCCCAGCACGTACCAGGTACTCAGAAAACACTAGTGGCTATTGGTTTATGTTGTTAATAATTGTAGCTATTATGGTAGGTCAAGCAAGTGCCAAAGAGAAGGGTAGGCAAACCATAAGCAGAAACAGTTGTTGAGAAGGGAGAGTGGAAGAAAGCATCCTAGAGGTGGAAGTGTTCCGTTGAGGCTTGAAAGAAGAGTCGGATGTACCAAGCAGAGACTTGGAGGTGGAGGAGGTGCTCCGGGCAGAGGCTGCAGTGCAGGCAGAATCACAGAAGCCTGGAAGTGTTGGCTGGTTCTGGCCAGATGGAGGTAGAAGGAGGGGAGACTAGAAAACGTTAATGCTATATCAAGGGCTTTATACCGTTAGGTAGACAGCATTGGTCTGGTTGATCTGGGATGGAGTGGTCTCGTGTGTGTGGTGGTGTCGTCTTGGCAAAGCTTGGTCAGCACATTTCTGTAGTTTTGGGTACTATATGAAGCCTTCTTCAGCAGTCATTTGCCCTGTCTCATTACACCCAGCCTTCTAAAAACTAGCTTTCTCATAGAGGGCCGGCACCTGTGTAGTTTGCTAAGGTAGTGCAGGGCTAAAGTTGGCCTTTCCAATATTTGTGTGAATGTTTTGTTACAGTCGAAAAGGGAGAAAATAAATAATAAACTATGTAGGTGGTCACCTCTTACAAAATATTCAACATTTGAATTATCTTTATATCTGATGACTTAGAGTCTAAGTTGTAGATGGTAACTAGAAGCAACTTTTGAAATGACTTTCCTTTCCTGATAACTGAGTGGTGCTTTGGAAAATTTGGTTGAGTTTCAACTCTTCCTTCGTGCATTTCACACACATTGACTAAGCCCCTCCTGCTGGCATTGTGCTGATACACAGATGGGGGCACAAAGATGAGAGAATACCACCTCGTTCATCTTGGGACTCAGGCACCAAGTCGGAGACCGGAGCCCTGAAGCCACATGGCAAAGCAGGGACTGCCAGGCAGATCGGGCACAGAGGCACGGGAGCACAGCGTGTGTGGGACTGCTCAGAGCTCTGAAATCACTACCTTTTCACCCAGGGTTGATTTCTGTACTCTCTTTAACTGACCTTCCTCCCGCCCCCAGGTTACCAGGTGACAGGGGTGTTTATGAAGAACTGGGACTCGCTGGACGAACATGGGGTCTGTGCTGCTGACAAAGACTGTGAAGATGCTTACAGAGTCTGCCAGATCTTAGACATCCCTTTCCATCAAGTGTCCTACGTGAAGGAGTATTGGAACGATGTGTTCAGGTGAGTGCAGGTCGCAGCTCAAAGGAGGCTTCCTCACGCTGTGGATCTTGCGAGTGGAAGGATGGTGGTCGTCAGCCTGACGGACTCCTGTGCAGCCCAGCGCGCTCCCTCCACGGTGGTGCTGAAGCTGCAGGAGGCCTCGGCTGCCTTGGGGCCTCTGTGTTAGAGGCAAGGCCTGGACCCCACAGCACTGCCAGCTCTGTCACGCCTGTCATTTTTGCTACTTGCCTGAAGTCTGTTTAATGCTTTCTTGGACCTTGAGTTGTTGCTGTTGCCCAGCTAGGGAAGGGGAGCTAAGACTGAGGGCTCCCCTGGAAGATGGGCATCAATGCCTGTGTGCTGTGTGGGTCACCGATTATGGGGGTTCTGAGAGGACGAGTTAGATGATATGTGGCCCCTTGTGGCTCCGTGCCTTTGCAAGCAAGAAACAAACGGAAACTTTTGAAATCTCATACAGTCCCAATCATTAAGTGCTTACTGCATGCTGGGCTTGGGCTACATCTAGGAACATTAAGATGTCTACGCCGTGACCTTGTTCTGTAGGAGTCTGCGGTCTAGTTGGGAGCACATTATCCATCTTCACAAGAGATGATAGTGATACGTGGCACGTAGGAAATGCCAGTGATTCTCTGAAGAATCACTGAACCCGGGAGGAGGGAGAAATTTGCAGTGTGGAGTAATCAAGAAGGCTTCATGAAAGAGGAGGGCTTGCCAGCAAAGGAGTAGAGAAGACACTTCAGATGGGGTGGTGAGGGCAGCAGTGAAGTGGAGAAGAAATGCCGGGGGTTCATTGCAGGACTGCTGTGCAGTTTGCCAGGACTTCTGCTCCTGCAGTGGAAGGAGCGGAGGGCTCGTCCTCTGGTGAGCCCTGACCGTGTGGACTGTCAGGCAGTTGTCGGGCATCTGACACAGCAGGCCGTGTGCACAGGACAGGCTGCCCTGCCTGAGTGGGCTGTGGGAGCAGAAAAACATTGTGTTGAGTCCTCACTCTGTCACTTACTGTATGACCTTGGGCAATTTACTTGACTTTGTTTTTGTAATTGAAAAAATAATATTTTTCCTGACAACAAAGAACCAGAAGAGTTACTTGACTTTTCTAATCCTTAATTTTCTCATCTTTAAAAAGGAGATAACACTGATGCCTCACAGGGTTATGTAAGAATTAAGTAAGATTAGGTTCTAGTTTTTATGTCTGGTGTATTAGTAAGCATTCAATAAACATAGCTGTTTTTCTTTTCTTTCTTTTTTTTTTTTTTGAGGTGGAGTTTCGCTCTTGTTACCCAGGCTGGAGTGCAATGGCGCGATCTCGGCTCACCGCAACCTCCGCCTCCTGGGTTCAGGCAATTCTCCTGCCTCAGCCTCCTGAGTAGCTGGGATTACAGGCACGTGCCACCATGCCCAGCTAATTTTTTGTATTTTTAGTAGAGACGGGGTTTCACCATGTTGACCAGGATGGTCTCGATCTCTCGACCTCGTGATCCACCTGCCTCGGCCTCCCAAAGTGCTGAGATTACAGGCTTGAGCCACCGCGCCCGGCGCTGTTTTTCTTTTCTTTCTTTCTTCTCTCTCTCTTTTTTTTTGAGGTGGAGTCTTCCTCTGTCACCCAGGCTGGAGTGCAGTGGTGTGATCTTGGCTCACTGCAACCTCTGCCTCCCAGGTTCAAGCGATTGTCCTGCCTCAGCTTCCAAGTAAAGTAGCTGGAATTACAGGCACACGCCACCATGCCTGGCTAATTTTTGTATTTTTAGGAGAGACAGGCTTTCACTATGTTGGCCAAGCTAGTCTTGAACGCCTGACCTCAGAAGATCCGCTAGTCTTGGCTTTCAAAAGTGCTGGTATTACAGGCATGAGCCACTGCACCTGGCTGCTGTTTTTATTTTCAGGATTAAAAAGATGAGTCAGAGCTAAGCTATGAGGACGCAAAGGCATAAAAATGATACAGTGGGCGGGGCGCGGTGGCTCACGCCTATATTCCCAGCACTTTGGGAGGCCGAGACGGGTGGATAGCGAGGTCAAGAGATCGAGACCATCTGGTCAACATGGTGAAACCCCGTCTCTACTAAAAATACAAAAATTAGCTGGGCATGGTGTCGCAGCTTGTAATCCCAGCTATTCAGGAGGCTGAGACAGGAGAATTGCTTGAACCCAGGAGATGGAGGTTGCAGTGAGCCGAGATCGCGCCATTGCACTCCAGTCTGGATAACAAGAGCAAAACTCCGTCTCAAAAAAAAAAAAAAAGATACAGTAGACTCTGGGGTGAGGTACGAAAGACTACACACTGGGTGCAGTGTACACTGCTTGGGAGATGGGTGCCCCACAGTCTCGGAAACCACCACTAAAGAACTTACCCATGGAAACAGAGGCTGCCTCTTCCCCCAGAACTGCTGAAATAAGAAAAAGGAATTTAGAGAGATTGGGCCTGGGTCTGGGGGTGGCCCTAGGATCTGCTTTAACAAGCACTTCAGCTGTGCTGGTGTAGAGGGTCGTCAGGGTCTTTGAGAAAAGGTGTGATGGGGCTTATGACTGGTGTGTGTGTGGGAGACCAGAGAGGAGAGGACTCCGCCGTAGTTTCAAGATCATGCCGGGGTGGCTGGGGAAAGCCGGTTTAGGGGATTCCTCATGAGTGCTGTAGAGTTTGAGGTGACAGCAGGGAACCCAAGGGAGCTTACACCTCACCTGCTAGCGCAGCATCTTCAAAGTGTACAAGTGGAGGTGGTTTTTGAAGTTGAGCTCGGCTCTGAGGCCAGAAAGGAAGAGTGACTCGTCTTGAATACTATGGCAAGTTAGGAGTGGAGCTGGGATTAAAACCCGGCTTTTGGCCGAGTGCCGTGGCTCACTCCTGGAGTTCCAGCACTTTGGGAGGCGGAGACAGGTGGATCACAAGGTCAGGAGTTCGAGACCAGCCTGACCAATGTGGTGAAACCCCGTCTCTACTAAAAATACAAAAATTAGCCAGGCATGATGGCGAGTGCCTGTAATCCCAGCCACTTGGGAGGCGGAGGCAGGAGAATTGCTTGAACCCTGGAGGTGGAGGTTGCAGTGAGCTGAGATTGTTCCACTGCACTCCAGCCTGGTTAACAGAGTGAGACCCTGTCTCAAAAAAAAAAAAAAAAAAAAAAAAAAAAAAAAAAAAAAAACCCAGCTTTCCAGGCCGGTGCTTGCTGCTGCTTTCTGGCGATGCTTGGTAGGGACTGAAAGAAGGCAGCGGCTGGGCAGAGTCTTTTCCCTGGGGCGGCCCTCGAGCTCGCCCCAGGCCCCAGCCAACCTGCACTCTATCCTCACTCAATCCCCACTTCCCGTGGAGACATTGGTCTTCCTGCTGAACACTCACTTCTCTAGGAGGGCTCTGTAGCTCAGAAATTTCATTTGAATTCTTTCATTCAAGACCCACTGGTTTTCAAGGGTCAGAGTCCAGATGTGTTTTAACTGCTGAGTCTTTTCAGCTGCTCTCCCCGTGACGAAGCACAGAAAAGACTACTTTCCAGTGAGAGAAGGGGCTGGGCTACTCCGTAGTTTTTGCTAATACCAACTGACACACCTTCCTGTCTGCTGTTTAGGAAAGGGTTAACAGTATGTCTTTTCAAAAACTGATGTAAATGTTCACCCTCTTCAACATTTATTGCTGACTGTTACGTAGAAAGGACATAGACACAGATGGCATCGTAAGTAGTTTATGGTTTAATGAGCTTCCTGATAACTTTCTAATAATTAAAACAAAATGGAAAGTGTCATAATACCAAGTGTTGTTGCAAATACAGAACAAGAAGAGTTTCTGTGAACTTCTGGGGGAGCAAGAGGTAGGTAAACACTCGGTGCCTGCTAACGTTGAAGAGACACAAGTAGCATCTGAGTCTGTGCAGATCCACGATCTGTCTGCATAACAACCCTCTTGATCAGCATTGGTTTTTTTTAACCCTTGTTGATTAGTAGAGCGTTTAGGTTAAATGAAAAAAAAAAAATACTTATACCAAAATACATCAATTTTTAAACTCCCAAAATAAACATCATAACCCTCTTGAAGTGAATCCTCTAAGACTGTGAAATTCTTACTAAGTCTTGATGGTATCGTAGCATCTTTTTCCCATATTCAGTTAGTCTGTTAGAGCAGAAATTCACAGAATAAAGATGGCCTGATCCACTTTAAGCACCCAGGAGGTTGCTCATTCTGAGAAGTGTGTATTCATCACATGAGGAAAGTATTTTTGGTATATTTGCCCAGTGACCCAGCTTCCCAGGCTGAGGGTGCACAATGGCTCCTGGAGCCCCCGTGTAGGGAAACTGACTTTCTCCTCTGCTCTCGCACCACAGCAGTCATCCTCATGGAAGAAGGCTTCTGTGACCAAAAGTGTGGGGGTTTTCCCCCATACACCAAACAGTGGACACCAACTGGGTGTCCTTCAATTCAGCTCCGACACCATCTCCCTGGAGATAGTGCCAGATCCCAAAGGTTGGGGGGTCAGTCCCCAAGACTGACCCCCCAACAACAGTCGAAAGTATGAGCCTCTAGGATTTAGGACCAACCGGCTTCAAGTTGGGATTCCCATGACTTCCTCTTTGGGTTTGATTATTAGTAAGTTCCTGGAGTGGTTCAGAGAACTCAGAAAAACACTTCCTTACATTTTCTTTTAAAGGATATTGCAAAGGGTACAGATGAAGAGGTGGGTCGGGTGAGGTATGGGGGAAGGTCAGGGAGCTTCCACACCCTCCCTGGGGACCACCCTCTAGGAAGCTCCACAGTGTAGCTGTCCGGAAGCTCTCTGAAGCCAGTACTCTTGGGTGTTTACGGAGGCTTCATGACATTGCCATTCCTTCCCCCAGGATATAGAGCGTGACTGTCTCTGGGGAGGGCGTTAAGACCCACAGTCAGAAAGGCAGATGCTTGTAATCCCAGCACTTGAGGAGGCTGAGGCAGGAGAACTGCTTGAGGCCTGGAGTTCAACACCAGCCTGGGCAACATGGCAAGACCTTGTCTCTACAGAAAAAGATGCTGTGGGCCCCGTAAGGTGGCTCATGCCTGTAATTCCAGCACTTTGGGAGGCCAGGAGTTCAAGACCAGGCTGGCCACCATGGTAAAATTAGCCAGGCATGGTGGTACGCACCTGTAATCCCAGCTACTCAGGAGGCTGAGGTGGGAGAATTACTTGAACCCGGGAAGCAGAGGTTGCAGTGAGTGAGCCAAGATCACGCCACTGCACTTCATCCTGGATGTGACAGAGTTAGACTTCATCTCAAAAAAAAAAAAAAAGTGTTGAAAAGAGTGCAGGTCAGAGGCCCATTCCTAAGGCCCACCACACCCAGCATGACAGCAGAAGACTAGCGGGCTATGGGAGGTACTTGCCAGGAACTGTGCATGGAAGCCAGTACATAGCATAGCCCTACCGCCCTGCAATGCAAGTCTAGGGGATTTCATTTCTGCTGTCACTCGGACATCTTCTCTTCCTTACCCGAGCCCTGCTGTGTTGGAGGAGTTCCAGAGGTGGGGGTTTAGTGAGAGCCTCACGACCACCCCCCCACTCCTGACCCCACGTGCCCTGTGAGCCTCCCCAGAGAGGGTGGTCCCGAGCCGTGGTGGCGGAGAGTAACACCTTGCTGTTAGGTGGCTCATGCAGCAGGCTATAAACAAATGTTTAATGACAGTGGCTTTGTATTGAAGCTCTTCTGTTTTGCAGAAAATTATAGTTTTGGTATAACAAGGAGAAATTCTACATTAAACAAGCAATTTAGTGAACGTAATCTTTTTTTTTTTTTTGAGGGATGTTTCACACTTGGAACTGAAGTCATTTTCTTTTATTCTAGTGATTTTTTGAATGAGTATGAAAAAGGAAGGACTCCCAATCCTGACATAGTTTGCAACAAGTACATCAAATTCAGTTGCTTTTTTCATTATGCTGTGGATAATCTTGGTAAGTAATTTGGGCTTAAAAAAATTTTTTTTTAGAGACAGGGTCTCGCTCTGTCACCCAGGCTGGATTGCAGTGATGTGATCATGACTCACTGCAGCCTCAACCTCCTGGGTTCAAAAGATTCTCCTACTCCAGGCTCCTGAGTAGCTTGGACCACAGGCATGCCACCATGGTGGCTAATTTTTTGTGGAGATGGTATGTCTCAACTCTGTCGCCCAGGCTGGTCTCAGACTCTTGGCCTCAAGCAGTCCTCCTGCCTCGGCCTCCCAGAGTGCTGGGATTCCAGGCAGGAGCCCCTGCGCCTAGCCTGTTTCTTCTTCTTGGACCTCCTGATGCTGAATAGTTTGCTTCGACCACCTCTTGGTGTCTGTGCCTATGCTTTGTGAATTCTAGTTTCTTTCTCCTGTTCCCTGCCATTGGGGGTCACCGTACAAGTTTCTGAAGTCGTGTCTCTGGCCTCTGGGTTTGCTGTGTCCCACTACAGCTCACCCTGTTGTGTGCGGCTACGAGACACCATTGTAAGCCAGGGACCGGGTAGTGTCAGTGCTTTCAGCGGTGACGTAGATGAGACTTGCAGATCTGACACGTGAGTAACCTAAAGCGGAGATGATGATGATGAAAGTTAGTTTGTGGAGTGAGGAGTAAACAAATGCCTACAAAACAAAAGGGCTGCATTTCAACACTGGACGGACACCAAAAACCAGGAAACGTCCTAGAGACAAACGCAGAGTCTGCACCCAGGTTCAGTAATTAATTCTCCTAGTACAAGGCTGGAAAGACATAGCATGGTTGCCATTGAATATGCAGAAAATCGGGGGGATTTAGGTGCCCCCATGCTGACTGAGCCAGGAGTGTGATGTCTTTTCGTCACAGCCAGCCAAATGAGCTCACCTTGATGATCAGAAAATGTCTGGGAAGGGGTGGTGCATCCACTGTGGTCCGTCCTGGTTAGACCACGTCAGTTCTTCAGGAAAAGAGTGACAGACTCACAACGTGAATTGATTTTTATTTTCAGTGTGTCCAGAAATATGTCCTCCATGAACTGTGGAGATTATTTTGGGTCCTAGAGGCAGGGGTCAAGGGTGTGAGTTAGGAATGCATTCTTTGTGTGACACCAGAGGACAGAGTTAGGACTGGCAGAAGAAGTTCCCTGGGGCAGAAGCACAGGCAGCTGTTGAGGAAGGGCACGCTTGCCTCTGGAGAGCACTAAGCTCTCACCAAAGGTTCTGAGGGAGCCCCGAGGTGGCTGGCCGTCAGGCACGCTGCGCAAGGAACTTCTGCAGTGACTGTGTCCGCATCTGGAGGAAAGGCGTGAGCAGCACACACAGGACGAGGGACTCCTGAGCCCACCGTGCTCCTCAGAGGCGCCCCGCCCTTCTCCTAGTAGGAGTGGTGGTTTTAAGGACATCGATTTAAAGTGGATTTTTTTTCTCTCTGAGAAACTCAGTCAAGATCAGATCATGTTTCTAAAGTGCCTTTTTCAGATCGCTAATACGCAGCAGTTAATTCGTGCTGTGTCTTCTGTTGACGCCGAGCTAGTGTGGTTGGTGAAGGATGGAATCCATTTTGCTGCACCTTTCATAAAGTCTCCTGAAATACTAGATATCTGTAATTTTTTTTTTTTTTTTTTTTTTTTTTTTTGAGACGGGGTCTTGCTCCGTTGCCCAGGCAGGAAGGAGTGCAGTGGCGTGATCTCGGCACACTGCAACCTCCGCCTTCTGAGTTCAAGCAATTCTCCTGCCTCAGCCTCCCAACTGACTGGGATTACAGGTGTCCACCATGTCTAGCTTAATTTTTTTTTTTTTTTTTTTTGTAGAGACGGGGTTTCATAATATTGGCCAGGCTGATCTAAATCTCCTGACCTCAAGTGATCCACCGGCCTCAGCTCCCAAAGGTCTGGGATTACAGGCGTGAGCCACTGCGCCCAGCCCGAACATCTGAAATTTTTACACGATGAAAAGGTTATGGACTTATATGCAGCTTGATAGCTTCTGTGACGTTGTGTACCATGAAACGAAGAAACAGTGTGCCGGATGGTTCTTCACTGTGATGAAAAAAATACATATTTATTACAGAAAATATAACAGAGGGGAAACAACACCTATAATTTCACTCACAGAATCAAAGGAGTAGACCTGAGATTTTTCTTCAGTGATTTCTATACAGTAAAAATAGTGGAATCGTGATGTTGTGTAGTTAAGTGTCAGGCATTTTCCCGTGTTGGTTAACATTCTCTGTTAGTACCCCCGTTGTTATGGCCATGCATTGTAATTCACCTCACATTCTCCCAGTGTTGAATGTTTTGGTTCATTTTGGTGGTTTTAATTTTTTTTTTTTTTTGAGACACCGTCTTGCTCTGTTGCTCAGGCTAGAGTGCTGTAGCACGATCTCGGCTCACTGCGGCCTCGACCTCTCAGGTTTGAGCAATCCTCCCACCTCAGCCTCCCAGGGACCTGGAACTACAGATGTATACCACGATTCCTGGCTAGTTTTTGTATTTGTTTTGTAGAGGTGGGATTTCACTGTGTTGCCCAGGCCGGCTGGTCTTGAACTCCTGAGCATAGGTGATCATCTGCCCACTTCTGCCTCCCAAAGCGCTGGGATCACAGGCATGAGCCACTGTGCACAACGTCCCTTAGTATTATGATAAACCCTGAAATGAATATTTTGTATTTAAATCTTTCTGTGCATTTCGGACTGTTTCCTTAAGCTAGAAATCAGCTTTTGAAAGGTCATAAAGGTGCAATAAAACTTTGTAGCAAGGTTGTACGGGGTTAAGAGTTCAAGGCTGCTGGTTTGATGGAATGTGGTGTGTGCCTCTATGTCCTGGGATCTCCATGTTTGGGGGTAGGGTGGACTGTGCAGCCCCTCAGCCTAAGACTTGGGGTCTGCACTCTTGTGTCCTGGTTTATGCTGATCAAGGCCTGTGAGTCTAAGTCTAAAACCTGGTCCTTGTGTTTTTTTAAAAATGTCACAGGGGCAGATGCCATTGCCACAGGTCACTATGCAAGAACGTCACAGGAAGATGAAGAAGTCTTTCAGCAGAAGCACATTAAGAGGCCAGAAGGGCTTTTCAGAAATCGGTTTGAAGTTAGAAATCGTAAGTTAAAGTGCCTGGGTCAGAGCTGAATTCTGTTTGAACAGAGTGAACTGTTTTGAAGAATGACAGTGGGTTGTGTCCGAGGATCGCTGCTCCCGACCCCGTACCCGCCCCCCACCCCCTGCCCCCCAGAGTAGCTTGTTTTGGATTCATACTTGAAAAGGTACAGTTACCAAGAGGGTCATTTTCCCGAGGGCCTGTGATTGTGCAGTAGGAGATGTCCCAGCTGGCCAGGGTGAGGGCTGGGGAAAATTACATCAGATACTGATAATCCAGCTCTAGACATTGTGTTAATGATTCAAGTGTTCCAGAAATATCTGGGTAAATGGTTGACAGTGATAATTGGGGTGCCATCAGTCTTGCCAAGGCCTTGTACTTAGCGTCAGGTGCTCAGGGGCCTGCGGTTCAGGCTGACTTTTAATGTGCTGTGAGCTGGGGACGTGCTGTGGATCGCATAGGGTCAGCAGTCGGGCTTTGTAGCTCTGTTCACACATGAGTTTATATGTGTTAGGGAGCCAAGTTTCACCTTTCTAGAAAAAAGTCAATACCATACAGTGAGCTGGGAAGCTGCTGGCTTGTCTGGCGTACGTTTATGTGTAAAGAGGAATTCCCTGCATTGTTGAGTGAAAATGCAAGTGGAGCTCAGAGTTGTGTTTCTGCAGGGAGTGTCCATCATTGTAGGATCTCTGGAGGGCAGTGTTTCTCCTTGGTCCAGAAATTCAGATGTTGGAGGGAGCCTTGTCCCCGCCATCTGGGGAATAGGGGTCTCTGGGGCTGGGGTAGGGCTTTACATGCACACATATTTTTTTTTTCAGAGGCAGGGTTTCACTCTCAACCAGGCTGGAGTACAGAGGCCCCATCTCCTCTCACTGCAGCCTCCACGTCCTGGGCTCAAGTGATCCTCCCATCTCAGCCTTGCTGAGTAGCTGGGACCACAGGCCTGTGCCACCACACCCGGGTTTTTCATTTTTTGTGTGTAGACGTGAGGTCTTGCTATGATGTCCGTGCTGGTCTTGAACTCCTGGGTTCAAGCGATTCTCCCCCCTCAGCCTTTCAAAGTGCTGGGATTACAGGTGTGAGCCAGCATGCCCAGCCTCACACATTGCATGTTGCTCTTCTCAGCCGTCCGTGAGGCGTGTGCTCTCATCCCGTTTCACGCGTGAGGAAGCCAAGGCCTAGATGAAGCTGTCTGACCCGGGCATCTTGGGTGGCAGAGCTGGATTTCAGTGCAGTTCTGCACACCCACAGTCCCTGCTGCTTCTCCTGTGCCAGGCCCTAGCTGAGTCCTCCTCAGCATTGCTGAGCCCATCCTGGAGGCTGCCGCGATGGCGCAGGGCTGTGCGTGGTCAGGGATGCCCTGAGTGTGCCAGCAGTCATCCACCGCCTTCTGTTCTCTCTCTCCTCCTCTCCTCATGGCAGAGGGTGATCAGGTACCTTCACTGACTTGAGCCCAGAGAAGAGCAGCCCACTCCCCTAAGACAGCACCCCATTTCAGGAAGACATGGGTTTGAGTTCAGAGTCCTGCCACTTGGGAACTGTGGGGTGAAATTCACCAAGTAATTGTGCACGTACAGGGCTTGAGGAGATGGAGGGTTTATTTCTGTGTTGAATAGATGCGCCTGCCTACCTCCTAGAACACGGTGCCCTGCAGAGCCATGGGCCTTTATTATGGGTCACGTGTTCTTGGAAACTTCCGACAGTACTGGTGCATGCGTTTTGTTGAGTAAGTTTGATGTGTGGGAGTTCTGATGGTGTCTTGGCTATCACTGTGTTTTGTAGCCACACTCAAGGTTTCTATTCTATTCTTTAGTTCCTCTGGCCTGGCCTGGGTCTTTAGGGAGAGCACCCGCGGGGGCAGTGAAGGGCCTGGGCTCAGCGTCGGTCGGCACCTGACACCGGTGCTCCTCGGCCCGGCCTGTGGCTGACGGCTTTTCCCGTGCACGGTGCGCTACCAGCAGCCTTGCCGAGCAGCACGGGAGGGTGTGTCACTGGGGCTCCAGCACAGGCAGCCTCCCCCGGCATTCGTTCCCGTCTGTGCTTTTCTTCTACAGTAGTTCAGTGAGGGTCGCCAGCTTGTTTTTTTGAACATCTTCGATGTTTAGTTTGTTTTAAAAAGACTCAGAACTAGGAGAAAATGCAAAGAGCTCCTAGTTTTCTGAGGTTTGACTATAGTTAGATTGGGGTTGAAAGTGGATTCTGAGGCTGGGTGTGGTGGCTCATGCCCGTAATCCCAGCGTTTTGGGAGGCTGAGGCAGACAGATGATGAGGTCAGGAGTTCGAGACCAGCCTGGCCAACATGATGAAACCCCATCTCTACTAAAAATATAAAAATAAAAATAAATTAGCGGGGTGTGGTGGCGTGTGCCCGTAGTCCCAGCTACTGCAGAGGCTGTGACAGGAGAATCACTTGAACCCAGGAGGCGGAGGTTGCAGTGAGCTGAGATCGCGCGCTACTGCACTCCAGCCTGGGTGACAGCGAGATTCCATCTCAAAAAAATAGAACAAACAAAAACTAGTGGACTCTGGGAAGTGCTCTGCTTCTGTGGTGACTGATGGCCGAACTCAGTCTCACTTCTCACTCAGTTCTGCTGTCTATACCCGACAAGGGAGCAGGACTCGGGAGGCGGGGCCATCTCAGCTCGGCCACCTGCACCTGCGTCACTGTGGGCGCGTCACGTGTGATGACTAGGCAGGCTTCAGTTTCCCTCTGTACCGTGGGGATAATTCTCCCTCTCACGGCTAACGTGGGAATCAGCAGACGGAGAACGCGTGCTGCATGCGTGGCTGTGCCGAGCCAGGAAGGCTGCGGGCGCTGCCTGTGGCGCGCGCTGAGTATAATTCGTAAGGAGGAGTTGATGAGAAAGGTTGACAGACGCCGTGAAACTGACATTCATCTTAAGTGTGTCACCACTGATCACTGAACCTCAAAGCGGGGAACTGGACAGTTCTAAGCCAGGTTTACGCACGCCTCTGCCATGTTGCCTTAAAGCCAAAAATGGTTCTTTACTATCACATAGGGAGTGTTGAAGGAACGGCAGGGGCCCCTAACAGATGTCGGCCGAGACGCTAAACAAAAAAGCGTCTGTACAGAGAAAGCGAATGCGTTCACAGGTGGAGCGCTGCTGGAGGCCGCGCTGCCCGCCCGGCCGTGAACCCACCGTGGTGCCGGCACGTCTGTGGGTGCTGGAAGAAAGCGCAGCGGACACGGTGTCAGGGCAGTTTTCTGCAGGCCGCCAGCCTGCTTAACTTTCCAGGATTTGTCTGAATTTATTTTAGGTTTTTTTTTTTTTTTTTTTAATCACTTCAGAACATTTTTTTCATGTGATGTTTCGTCTAATCTGAAGTGTGAGCTGGAATACTTTGTCATACAAAATCCTTGGTCTTTCTGGAGCTGCGAGTGTTTCTCACGTTTACCCCAGTGGTGGTCTTTTCCCTAGCAGTTGCTATTGAGTGTTGATCTCTGCTTCTGACAGGCTAGGGCTAGTCTGGCTTAGTGAACAGAAGGACACTGTTGAGAGTGAAGTATCATTATTTTTATTCCTGCAACGTCTTTTGTTCTTTATTCTTGGCAGCGGTAAAACTCCTCCAGGCAGCTGACAGCTTTAAAGACCAGACCTTCTTTCTCAGCCAGGTTTCCCAGGATGCCCTGAGGAGAACCATCTTCCCTCTGGGGGGATTAACAAAAGATTTTGTAAAGAAAATCGCTGCTGAGAATAGACTTCATCACGTGCTTCAGAAGAAAGAGGTACGAGTGAGCAGTTCCCTTTGATTAGTGCCCGTGTTCCTTTCCGACTGCATGGTCCAGGGAGCAGCTGGGGCCTGGGGATCCCACGCCACTTCCCCTTCTCCAGGACCTAACGTCAAAGGCGAACCTTGGAGCGGTAGGAAGAGTTTGCTCAGGCGCCTGGTACAAGGCTCTGCTGACATTGGGAGCATCCTCGACGACGCTCCTTGCTCTTGCCCCTCCTCTGCCCCTACGTGGTAGGCAGCTTTCCCCGAAGCCTTAGTAGCTGGTGGGCTGCTCTTGGGATGGCCTGCCTGCCAGGTGAGTGCCAGGCAGTGTGATGGAGAGACCCCTGCAGGGGCAGGTACCCTGTCACCTGCTCGCCCGCCGTAGACTCGTATAGTGCCATCTGTTCCAGGCACTGTGCTGCTGGGCTGCGAGAACACGGCGATGCGCACACAGTTCCATCTTTGCCTCCACGGAGCTCACCTGCGAGCCGGGGGCGCAGACAGGAGGCCAAGCACTGTAAACCTAGAAAGCGTCTGTGGAGGGAGGTGTAGGACCCTGGGAGGGAAGCACTCATGGAGTCTGAGAGGAGGGAGTGGAGATGACAGGGCCTCAGGAAGTCACACGGAACCTGAGACCTGAAGGATGAGAGGATTTGGTGTCCCGGAGAGGGCTGGGAAAGGCCAGACGAGGGAGGGGCCGTGCAGAGGCCTCGAGACGAGGAGAAGCCGGCCTGGGGTGCCTGCCCGTGGCCCCGGGTGCTTGGGAGGATCGAGTGCACCCAGGAGTTTGAGGACAGCCCGGGCAACATAGCAAAACCTGGCTCAAGGAGAGCGAGCCCGGAGCGTTGGCAGAACAGGGTGAAGCCAGTGGGAGGGCCTGGGGATGGAGGGCGAGGGGTGGCAGCCGTTGCTCCTTCGTGTCTCTTCCTGGTAATGGAAATGGCCATACCGTTCAACAGGAAGCCCTCTTCCCTAAAGAGCACGCCACCCCCGCCCTCCTCTCCTCTGGTCTTCCGTTTCCAGCGTCACTCTGGTGGGAGCTGTAGTCAAGAGAGACACAAACCAGAGAGTAAACGATGCAGCCTCTGACGGGGCCGGGGTGGGGAACCCACGCAGCCCAGGCTCCCCAGCCAGGACAGCTGCGGTTGAGGAAGGTGCCTCTCCTCTGGCTTCCCTGGAGTCCTCCCCCGAGGCCTGGCTTTCCTGCTTCCTGCCCCTCCTCTGCTTCTCACAGGACAGTGGCCCGAAGGGGCTGACTGGGTGAGGTTTTGTCGAATAGGGTCAGACCTTGCCAGGCCAAGACAATGAGGCGTTCGTTCTCTAAGGCCCTGGCGGGCAGCCGGGCCCCTACCCTGAAGCAAATTGTGGGGTGAGGCCGGGAGGCCCTGGAGCAGGGTGTGCGGGTGCAGTGCGGGCCACCCCCACCTCTGTCCCTCTCACCGCTGCCTTCTCATTTCAGAGCATGGGCATGTGTTTCATCGGGAAGAGAAATTTTGAACATTTCCTCCTTCAGGTGAGTGGTGGTCTTTGACACAAAGAGATGGGGCCACGTGTCTGCCCTGGGCCCGGATCTCCATCAGTAACAAAATGCTTGTTTTCCAGTATTTGCAGGCTCGACCTGGTCAGTTCATTTCCATAGAAGACGATAAGGTTGTGGGAACACATAAAGGTGAGGCGCAGACTCTGCCACTTGTCGTCTGAGATGCCTTGAGTTGTGGGGTTTCAGCCCTGGGAGACGTAGCCAAGGGTGCCCGTCATCCCTTCCACTCGGCTGGTGGATCGTAGAAGGCTCTGTGGGGTGGCACCGGCACCTTGATGAGGACTATGCATTTTAAGATGTGGCCGCAGCTGAAATACTGGAGTTCATGAGGCATGCCTCTGATTTGGAAGGGCAGTCCTGTGAGTTACCCCTATCAAGTCCCTGTACAAAGAATGATTTCCTCACTGTGTAAGGAAAGTGTTAAACTACCTAGAACTCCACGCTGCTGGAGGGAGTAAGGTGGACGTCACGGTATGACTAGAATCTTGAAGGACCCGTGCGGTGATGAGGCCAGGTGTCCCGCCGGCAGGGCTGCTGCTTCTGCGCCTGCTCTGTGGTGAGGACTACGTCAGCCTGTGTTGTGCCTGGTGTGGGGGACGGGCTCCGAGTAGTCACCAGCCAGCGCTGGGTTAGTACAGTGGTGGGGATGTGCCTTCTGCTGTGATCGTCAGGCAGTCTTGACCTAGCGCAGGACTGAGCTGTGGGATGGGCCTGGAGCGCCGGCTGCTGCTCAGGGATGGGGCGTCCGGCAGCGAATTGGAGATCCTCAGGAGCACGGGGCTCCCGAGAGCCTGGGCTGGGCATTCCTGAGACAGGCCTGCCTGTGTAGCTGCCAGCGCCGGTCCCAGCGGGAGCCAGTGAGATGACTCAGGGCTTTTACCTGCAGTTCACTGCACTGCAGGAGGCTGCCGGCCCAGGCCACGTGGTGAATCCATGTGGTTCTCTCTGCCTGCGTGCACCACTGCAGCAGGGGGAGGCAGTGAGTTTGCCATCTCCTCTCTGACATTCATTGTGAGGGTGCGGGGCGTGCAGAGTGTAGCCAGGGAAGACTTGGGCACAGAGTGGCGGGGGGCAGCCCGAGGTAGGTAGTGCATTAGATTGACACTGTGTTAGATGCACAGCTGTGTCATGGGCTCAACGAGCAGGGCCTAGTAGTGGCACACAGGGCCCCCAGCCACATCCTGGCCCTGGGGTCAGGTGTTCCTGCAGTTAGAACCTGTACCTTACGGGGTCTAAGGTACCTGCTCATGGCCACTGCATCCTGTGTTTAGCCCAGGCCTGGATGACGATGGGATGCGCTCAGGTGCTTGGTCAGTGCTGGCCTGGGTGGTTGGAGAGTCAGCTTCCAAGTGAGCTCCTCCGTTGCCGGGCTTGCTCTGGGCTGCCCTTGGAGGTCCACAGAGCCTTCCCCTGCTGTCCTATGAGGAGAGGTGTGACATTTGGGATGGAATGCGTTGCCCAGCCTCATGGAGAAACTGTCTTTCTGTAGGTTGGTTCCTGTATACCTTGGGCCAGAGAGCAAACATCGGTGGCCTGAGAGAGCCCTGGTACGTGGTGGAGAAGGACAGTGCCAAGGGCGACGTGTTTGTGGTGAGTGGGCTGGCCTTTGAGGTGGCCTGGGCTGCTGCTGGCAGGGCCAGCGGTGCTATGGACCAGGGCTTGGGAAGACTCCAAGCCGCTGCGGCGTCATGGAGCTGGTGACTCACTCTGTTACTGTCCTTGGGCCCTGCCTTCCTGCTGTGTCCTCCTGGGACTGGCCATGGTGGCAGGAGGGTTTAAGGTACTCCTCGGGCCCTGTGGTCTTCTGCCCTCTCCCTTAATCATCACTGAACCCCTGTACACAGATAACAGTTTCTCCACTTTTACAAAAGAGAGCAGCGAGACTCAGAGCTTGGGGGGCTCGTCTAGTGGCCTCAGTGCTGAGGACGGTGCCTGCCATGGTAGAATCCAGTGAGGTGTGGTCAGGCAGGTGCAGATGGCCGAGCCTTCCACCACTGCAGGGGCTTCACCACCGTGACCCCTTCACCACTGTGACCTTGGCCTTAAAGTGGGGGTGCCTGTCGGGAGCAAGCTCACCCACCTTCTCCCCCTCTTCCGGGGATCTTGCCAGTGTCTGGAGGCATTTTTGAGCAGGCAGGGGCATGAGTGCTACAGCTCAGTGAGCCAGGCCCGGGCTGCTGCCAGCCGTGCTCAGCGCAGCCTCCAGCTTGGTACCACAGCCGGCTCATGTGGCACGAATGCTGAGGGCTCCAGGGCGCCCCTACCTTCGCATTCTGCCCCACAGGCTCCCCGGATAGACCACCCAGCCCTGTACAGGGACCTGCTGAGGACCAGCCGGGTGCACTGGATCACAGAGGAGCCGCCTGCAGCACTGGTCCGGGACAAGATGATGGAGTGCCACTTCCGAGTCCGCCACCAGATGGCACTAGGTGACTGGCGGGAGGGCTTCCCTGGACGGGCCCTTTGAAGCCCAGTTTCCTGAGACCAGATTTGGGCCAGGGAAGGGAGACCCTGGGGCAGGCACGTCCCTGTTGTGGAGATTACCTTCTGTGTCCTGTGCCTGCCTTGAGGGAGGCCGGGAGCAGGCCCCGTGTGTTAGGCTGAAGCAGGCGAGTGCACTGTCCGGCCGTGCCCAGGGCCTGGGCTGGTGCCTTTTCCTTCCCCTCTGAACGGGGGTCTCACCCCTGTGGGCTGGTGCCCCTTTTTCCCTGGGGCTGACCAGGCAAGGCCTGTGCCCCCTCCATAGGCCCCTGTCTTTCCACCCAGTGCCCTGCGTGCTGACCCTTAATCAAGATGGCACCGTGTGGGTGACGGCCGTGCAGGCTCTGCGTGGCCTTGCCACGGGACAGGTGAGTGGGGCCCAGCTGCTGCTGCCGCCCTCCGTGAGGACTGCACTGCTCTTCACCAGGACACCTGGGTTACAGAGGAAGGGGCTGAGGCCCAGAAGTAGGGTGTGAGCAGGTCACACAGCTGGTGAGGGCATGGTGTGACCAGCCTCTCCCGGGGGCTCCTGCAGTGACAACTGTCAGAGGATTTCCACTCTGATGTCACCAGCCAGCTCCTGCTTGGGCCCTCAGAGGCTCAGCTGCTTCCCTGGGCCCCAGATGCGGGGGCAGGAGGACTGTGCTCAAGAGGCAGAGGGTCGTGCCCTGGGGCTGCGTGTGCAGGAGGCTCCGGTGGGGGGGCGCCGGGCAGGTGCGGGCACTGGGAGGGAGTGAATCTGGGGTGAGGAGAGCTGAGGTGTCCCTCTGGCTGCCACCATGCTCTGTTCTGTCACAGCCCAGATTCCCAAGGGCTGCAGAGACCTGCCAGTCCTTGGAGTCCCAGGAGAGGCCCCTGTGACTGTCCCACTCAGGGAGAGCCACCCTGACCCTGAAGACCTTCCCTAGTGAAGCTGCGGGGCGCCCCTGGCCTCTCCTCACTTGTTAGGCAGCAGCAAACCCTGCTCCCCCTGGAGCTCCGAACACAGGCCAAGCCCCAGAGGGACTGCTCTGCCCCTACCTGCCCTGGGCGGGCCCCCTTCAGAACCCGATGCCAGGCCCTCTCTGCCCTGCAGTTTGCCGTGTTCTACAAGGGGGACGAGTGCCTGGGCAGCGGGAAGATCCTGCGGCTGGGGCCGTCTGCCTACACGCTTCAGAAGGGCCAGCACAGAGCTACGGTCGCCACCACGAGCCCCAGTGACAGCCCAGAAGAGGGCCCAGACCTGCGTCCCTCGCTCTGACAGAGACGGAGCTGCTGGGAGGAGCCTGGAGGTGTGGACAGGAACTATCCTGGAGCTATCCTCACAGGAACGTGAGCAAGAGGGAGGTGGGGTGGCCAGGCAGAAGGTAGCGTGGGCACCAGGTCAGCATGGGTGAGGCTGCCCTCCATAACCAACGGTGGGCTCCGCTGTCCTGCCAACCCTGGGGCCTCTGCCTCGGCCAGTGGAGGAAGTTGGGGCACAAACCTGCCTCTTGGGCCCCAGACTCCACTGGCGACAGCTTCCTGACTGGCCGGGCTTCCCTCTCTGCAGAAGGTACAATTGCCTGCGCATGCCCCACAAGGCCAGCAGCCAACTCTGGAGGGCTTCGGCGCAATGTCTCAGATTCAGCAGAAGCTGTTGGCCAGGGGGTCAGAGGGCCAAGGATCTGAGCTGCTCTCCTGGCCTCTTTCCTACCCCCCCACCAGCACCCAAGGCTGGCACGCTCCAGAAGCTGTGTCCCTCAGATGACCTTCTGAAGACCCGGGGTGCCCCAGGAGCACAGGCAGGCAGGTAGCCCTTCCTGCCTGCATGGGCGCCCCCAGTGGCCTGGCCTTAGCCACTTGCCACACCTCTCCATGAAGACAGAAGGGGAGGGAAAGGAAGAAAAACATCTTCCGGCCAAGAGCTGGATGCTCATACCTCCCCGCTCCCTGCTCATAACACAAATGAAAGCAAAGCCCTTGCTCTTCTCCCCACCCAGGTCATTTCCAAGATAATCTCAGTGAGACGCAGGGCCCAGGACAGCACCCCCTCGCTAGCTTCAAACACCCTGAGCCTGCCTTGGGCCCAGGCCCTGGCTCCCATGTTGTCCCATGTTGTCCCATGTCAGAGCCTTGCCCGGCCCAAGCCCTTTCCTTCTTGGGGAGTTTTTTTTTTGTTTTTTTTTTTTTTTTTTCCAAGAGACAGGGTCTTGCTCTGTTACCCAGGCTGGAAGTGCAGTGGTGTGAGCACAGCTCACTGCAGCCTTGACCTCCTGGGCCCAAGCAATCCTCCTGCCTCAGCCTCAGCCTCCCAAGTACCTGGGACAACAGGCATATACTACCACACCCAGCTAATTTCAATTTTTTTTAAGAAACAGTCTTGCTGGCCGGGCGCGGTGGCTCAAGCCTGTAATCCCAGCACTTTGGGAGGCCGAGGCGGGTGGATCACCAGGTCGAGAGATCGAGACCAACCTGGTCAACATGGTGAAACCCCGTCTCTACTAAAAATACAAAAAATTAGCTGGGCATGGTGGCGCGTGCCTGTAATCCCAGCTACTCAGGAGGCTGAGGCAGGAGAATTGCCTGAACCCAGGAGACGAAGGCTGCGGTGAGCCGAGATTGCGCCATTGCACTCCAGCCTGGGTAACAAGAGCGAAACTCCGTCTCAAAAAAAAAAAAAGAAAAAAAAAGGTCTTGCTACGTTGCCCAGGTTGGTCTTGAACTCCTGGCCTCAAGCGATCTTGCCTCAGCCTCCCAAAACACTACAGGAATGAGCCACTGTGCTAATTTTTAGCAGCTAATTTCTAAAAATTGTAGAGGCCGGGCAGAGTGGCTCGTGCCTGTAATTCCAGCACTTTCAGAGGCTGAGGCAGATGGACTGCCTGAGCTCAGGAGTTTGAGAATAGCCTGGGCAACACAGTAAAACAGTGTCTCTACTAAAATACAAAAAAAAAAAAAAAAAAAAAAAGCTGGGTGTGGTGGCATGTGCCTATAGTCCCAGCTACTCAGGAAGCTGAGGAAGAATTGCTTGAACCCAGGAGGTGGAGGTTGCAGTGAGCCGAGACTCCGTCTCCAAATAAAAATAAAAATTGTTTGTAGAGATGGCCCTCAGCTAATTTTAAAAAATTGTAGGGATGGGGTCCCGCTGTGTTGCTCAGTCTGGTCTTGAACTCCTCCCTCAGCCAGCCAAAGTGTTGGGATTACAGACATGAACTACTGTGCCTGACCCTCCTTGGGGGTCTTAACAAGCCTTGCCTCCAGGGTGGGGAGCCCAGGGCAAGGCTAAAACGCTGTGATTGAAGCAGCTGTAGTCACCCGTTACCTGGGCTGGGGGAGTCTGCACGTCCCGGGGCTTGGACAGTGTTTCTGCTGCTGTCTGTTGAAACGTGATCACAGAGGGGCTTGTTCTGCCGTCACCCACCACGGTCTGCTGCCGATGCTCTCCGGACACACTGCGGAGCACTCGATGGTCCTCAGGTGGACATCTTGGCCTGGTTGACGGACAGGCCTGCTCCGGGCGGCCTGGACTGCTCTCTTATGCTTCTGATGGTTTCCTGTTAATCATGGCTTTGGCGGTGAGGTAGAAATACTCTATCACATTAGCCACTGAGCATTCTGGGATGTAAACATTAGCGGAGAAAGCAAAACCTGAAAAATGACCCGAGGCATTGGTGTGTTCGAGGTTTTCTTCACTTTTCTCAGATTTGACCCGGGGGTGTCCCTAATCTGTGGTGCTATGCAGCCAGCACCAGGACACGGACTTTAGAGACGCCTGGGGAAATGGGGATGCTGTGGGCTGGAGAGTGTTGGGGTTCCCATTTTTCTCTTTGCTGTCACTACTTTTCCCTAAGCGTGGGCCCTGCTGGGTGGAAGCGTGAGGCGGTGCAGGTGGCTAGAGCTCTGGGAGAAACCCATTTTACTGGATGGAGAAACCAAGAGAAGGGACCCCAGGAGTGAGAAAATGCAAGGCAAATCCCAGCAAGGAGAGGGCTGGAGAAGCGGACCCCCACATCCTCTGCACGTGCTGACGCACGTCCCTGCTCACCCCGCCTGTGAGTGCAGGCAACGACCCAGAACAGCCGAGTTCAAGGGCTGGCCTGGCGGTGGACCTGCAGCTCATGGAAGGAGACAGAACCAGGGGCCAGGACCTAACTGGGTTGCCTGCTGCTGAAACAAACAGATGAAACGACACTTAAAACGAGGGTGTCAGCAACCCAGAGTCTAACACTCCACGTGACAGGTGAGGATTCAACCTGTAGTCACTCAGCACACAAAGAACCAGGAAAATGCGAACAGAAAAGACAGATTTCAGCCCCAGGATACTCAAACGTTCAAATGATCCCAGAAGTCACAGCAGCCCTAGTTAGAACCATGCCTCATGAAGTAAAGGTGAATACTCTTGGAATGAACGGAAAACTAGACGTGCCCAGCAGAGAAATACAAAGGAACCAAGTGGAAATTTAAAAACTTTACAGTGTTTGAAATACAAAATTTACTGGGTGAGTTCAGCAGCAGAATCAAGACGACAGAGGAAAAACAGCGAACTTGAAGATGGAGCACCGGAAATCAAATCTAAAGAGCAGTTAGTTAGAAACAAGAATGAAGAAAGATGAACAGAGCCTCAGGGACCGGTGAGAAAACATCTGAGTAGCTGGAGTTGCAAAAGGAGAGGAGAAAGATCAGTGCAAGAAAAGAAAACTGAAGAAGTAATGGCAAAACCTCCCGAAATTTGGTGAAAGACACTCATTTACAGATTCAAGAATCTCAGGAAATGCCAAAGGAGGACCGCCCATTGAGGCCGTGGCAGGCCAGCCAGGGAATGGAGAAAGTCTGGATGCAAGATTCCACTGGCCAGCAGAGCATGGGACGTGGACAGCTCAGCGGCACGTCCGTCAGCCGTCCCTTCTACGGCCATCTCGGGTGCAGGGAGGGGCAGGTGTGCGTATGGAGAAAAACCAGCACTGTGGAGGTACAAATTCAAAAATCTTAATTTATTGTAGACTCTTCTCATTTGAAATTCCAGTGTTTTGAACATTAATAAATACACATCTGTTAAAACCCTCCAGTGTCTCATCTCTACCATAAAGTCTTAAGTAATAAAAATAGGTTTCCGTTTCTCCCGTCTCAAACTGACAGCTGTTTTTTGGTAACAGTTCTGATCAAATTAAAAATTACACCTCATGATGCTGGCTGTGGAGTATGTGAAAAAAATAAAATAGAACAAACAAAAAAATGACAGCTCGCGGTAGACCCCGTTACAGTGAAAGTGGACTGTTCGAAGACTTAAAAACCTTTCTGTACTTAGGAAATGTCAGGGGCAAACGTCCACAGGGAGCAGAGTTTTGTATCTTCGAAAGGCCACTCACCTGGTAAGGCACGTGAATGACTCATCCAGGTGTGAGGGCCGTGGGCTCTCATTTCCTCCTCCTGTCCTGGGCCGTTTTCAGCTACGCTCTTCCTCTGGCGCACAGGCATCTGCTGACAGTGCTCACATTTTCATCAGGGTAAAGTTTAAAACTTGAGTGTGGACACCTCTGCCTTTCACTTGATTTTCACCCTACTTTATGGTTTCTATTAGGAAGCAGCTGTTCGATCACTGATTTGAGCACCTGATTTGAAGAACAAAGGACACACTAAAACAAACCGTGTCTGAATAGTCCTGGGCCCTGTTCCACAGCCCCTCGGGCCACGCTGTGTCAACTGCCTGCAGCCGGGCCGTCCCTGATGTGAATTTCCAAAAACAGTTTGGTAACCGCTGAGGAGTGTGGCTGTGGCTTTGTCCCCGTGCACAATTGGCCATTTGAAGCAAAATGAAGTGATTGGTCAGACTCCAGGGATGGGACCCCTGCCTGCCTGGAGATCCTCCGACTCTCAAGGAGGTAGAGGATTGGCAAGAGGGACGGACAGCCTGGAACACCACACGCCTCTGCCCAAATCCGGAGCCTGCAACGCTTTAAGGTCGCAGGTCCCACTGGGAGCAGCAGTAAAGGACAAAGCCACCCCCACCTGCAGCTCCTGGGCCACCTGGGAGGGGTGAGGGGAGAGGGCGGTGGTCAGGGACCCACCAGGTGGGAAATGACAACTGTGTGGCAACCGTGCCCCACAGTGACCTCAGCAGGGCTCCTCACACCTGCCCAGTCCCGGACTGCCCTGTCTAGAATTCACACAGCTGGGACAGACGGCAGCAGAGGGTGAACGCACGATGGTGAACACAGCGCAGACCCAAGGGGCCCGTGGGGAGGGCCCACGCCATCCTCGCTCTCCGGCCGAAGGCAGCTGTAGGGCTTCTAACTGCTTGGTTTTAGCCCCACTGCTAACGCATCTTCCACCTTTGATCTGCTGGGGCGACAGTTTTGTCAACACATGCCAGATTCAAGTACAACTGTGCAATCTTCTTTACACAGAAGACAGCAAGAGATCATTCCGTGGATCTCCCGGGATCAACAAAGTCGGCACGACTGCAAAATATACACACGTTTCACCTCCTCAGAGTCCCATACACACGTATAAAAGTATCTACACCTTTTCCACGTAGCAAAGCAACTTTAAGACAAGCCGTGTCTTTGCAAAGGGCTGCCGGCCACGGCCCTGCACTGCCGTGAGATGCCCGCACGGGCAGCACTGGACCGCAGTCTTTGGTCTCTGCCCAATGTCCCTGAACTCTGGGCAGCCTTTGGGCCTGGTCTGGGGGCCCCTCTCACAGTTTTGGCTCTGTCTGCAGTCTTAGGACGCAGCGGTGCTGGACTGGTGGTCCGCGCCCCTCTCATGCCTGTTACCAGGTCTGACAGACCCTGAGCTCCTGGGACAGCCAAGACCTTTGTGGGTGGATGATCAGTCGGGGGGCTGTCACTGTGGGGACCACCACACTCGGGGCCCACTTCACTCCAAAGGCAGCGGCCCCTCGGGCTCCAAGGTCCCAGGGCTCGGCATCGCAGCAGCCTGTATGGGGGTGACGGGCTTGCCTCACGGTTTCCTGATGGTTCAAATTGAAGTTTCATTACTGCCTCTGCGTGTGGGAAGAAGCCATCAAGTAGGTGAAGGGTCAGTGAGGGTAGAGGCTGGGTGGGGTCCCCCCAACAGGGGAGAGAGGGCATCTGGGGGATCCCGGTAGGGCAAGCTCATGTCGGATGTGGCTGCCCTCGGGAGCCAGGAGAGGGGACCAGGACCAGCCGTGGGCCTCTATGCTGCTGGTCTCTGAGCAGAGCATGAGGAATTCACGTTAGAAACCAGTCATCTCTATGGTGACTTTTGGGAGGGATGTCCTAAAGACCTGGCTTCTCCCTTAAGAGTTTGGAGGGAGGGAGGAGCGACAGGGAGAGGTCTGGGGCCAGAATCCCCGCTCCACCCAGCCCCCTTCACCCGGGGATTCTGGGAGCCTCCATATCCTCAACCACAAGGTGGGTCCCAGTGGTCCCGGTCGCGAACAGTGCTGATCAAATGCAAAGCCCTCCACCTTGGATCGTGGCTGAGGCTTCTGAGTCCCAGAGGCCTGCGACGTGCCCCCAGGATAGGGGGTCTGCCTATCTCCAGGGGATCCTCCTGACCTCAGCTGCAGTGCGCCCCCATCACTGCCTGGGCTCCCTCAGCACTCAGGGCTCCAGGTGAGGTGGGTGCCAGGTCCCTGACCACTGCCCCCCCCCCTCTCTCCTGACTCGGGACGAGGGGGAGGTGGGTGGCCCCGGCTACTCACTCAGAGTCGGAGCCGGAGCCGTCGGCCTGGGCGCTCCCGGTGCGCATGTTCATGGCCACCCCATTGAGGTGCTCACGCCCCGGCTCCCTCCCGGGGCTCTTGACCATGATGGCGCCGTCCGGGCCCCCAGAGCCCAGGGAGGACGCGGGGCTCTGCTCACAGTGCCCCAGCTTCTCCCGGAGCCGGCCCTTCAGCATCTGCTCTGTCAGCATCAGTGGCGGTGGGTAGGTGACTTTATTTTTCAAGATGCCTGGAAGGAGATGGGGCAAGGTCACGTCCGAGTGATGCTGCGTGCGTTAGAGCCAGCCTCAGCCTCTCTACTTCCTCCTGGTTCCCCAGTTCCCAGAGCAAGGCCGGAGGGCCACGTCTGTCCCTCCCAGGCCCTGACCCGCCCCACCAGCCCCACCCCCACCTCCAAACCAGGGACTGGCCCTTCTGGGTCCTCCAGCCTCCCCAGGCACCTTTCCTCTGCTCCGGGGGCTGGCTGCCAGCAGGCCTGGCCGCGTCCCCACCCTCGCGGTCTGGGGGGCGCTCGCCGCAGTGACCGCCCTGCTCCTCGAGGTGCAGTTCCACGCTGACCTTGGTCTCCACCCTCAGGCGGGGCTGGCTGTCGGGATCCTCAGGATCCTCACTGTCACTGCCGCCTAGGCTCTGCTCAGGCCAGACGGCCGGGACATGGTTGACCACGGCGTCCCCTGAGGCACGAGGGTGGCACTCAGCAGGCAGTGGCACTGCCACTCGAGCTGTGCCCCTGAGTGCCACAGGTCTGGCAGGTCCTGGGGGGGGCCCTGACCTGCCTCTCCCAGACCTGCAGGCCTGGCAGGGCTGAACCCTAAAGGCAGGGAAACTGAGGCCCAGGAGGAAGAGTCCTGGCAGCAGGGCTGTCACTGGGCTGGCCCCCACCCCCTGCTGTATCTGTCCCAGTAACCACACATGGCTGCCCTCCCACCCCCGCAACCTGACCTGGACCTTGCAGTGACGGCCCACGGAACCGCCCCCCAGATTTCCTGCCTCTGCTTGGGGGTTTGGCACAGGGAGCACTCCAGAGGCTGTGGGGGAGCCCAGCCAGAATTCCCCAAGCCCAGGCGGTCCTTCCACGTGACAGCGGTGCCGCTGGGCATGTCCTGGGAGGCAGGGACCCAGCCACAGCCAAGGCCTGCCTGGAGCCTGCTGTCTGCAGCCCAGCCGGTCTACTGTGCCCCATGCACTCACCTTTGGGGGTGCTGTGGATGGCACCCCTGGCCGGGTCCCATTTTTCCTCAGCCCCCACCCCGTCATCCTCGCTGTCTGACGAGTGTGAGGAGGCGTAAGAGCTGCTCTGCTCATCCAGGGACAGCTCACTATCCGAGTCAGAATCGTGGCCTGTGGACAGGCAGGGGACAGGGAGGCTCAGGCCCCAGAAGGTGAGGGGGTCCCACCAAGGGCCAGGTCCCTGCTGAGCATGGTGAGGCTGCCAGCACTTCTGCAGGGGCAGAGTCCAGGGACTGCAGGGACGTGGGACAAACAACTCTCAGGGTCCTCCCCCCGGGGAAGCCATACCAGGGGGGTCTTTGGAGCCTCTAGGCAAGAAGGATGAGTCTGGCTCTCCGTGGCTGCCCCGTGCCGGCCCAGAGGACATGCTGAGCTTCTGGACCCCTTCATCCCTAGAGAGGCCAGGGAGGGTGGGACAGGAGGTGCTGGAAAGTTCTCTGGAAGTATCTCTACCCCTACCCTTCTGCGTTCCCATCAAAACAGCTTCCCGAGTCGGCGGGGGGGGGGGGGGGGGGAGAGGATGTGGGGGAAAGGTGGGGGGAAAAAGTGGGGGGGAAGGTGGGGGAGAAGGTGGGGGGGAAGGTGGGGGGAAGGCAGGGGGAAAAGGTCGGGGGAAAGGTGGGGGGCGAAGGTCTGGGGAAAATGTCAGGGAAAGGTCAGGGGCAAGTTCTGGGGGGAAGTTCTGGGGGGAAGGTGGTATCAGCTGAATGGCAGGACCCAGGTGGGGGCAGTGGGGGCAAAGCCCGAGGGGGCTGGAGAGCCACGTCCCCCGCTCCCGGAGCAGGAGCCTGACCTGACGGTGCTGTCCAGCGAGGCGGTGGACTCGCCCAGAGCCGTGCGCACCATGTCCGGCCCGTCGCCGAAGGTGGTGGTGCAGTTGAGGGAGCGCTGTGGGGAGGGGAGGGGAGCGGCTGGTCACTGCCAGGTGGAGGCCACCACATGACCACCACCGGGATGGCTCTGTCCCCACGGCAAGTGCCCCACGCCCACACCCCGGCCGGGCCCCTGCCCGGCACACAGAGGGGACCGGCCCTGAGCAGTCGAGCCTCGCTGCGAACAAGAACGTCCAGCAGCTGAGGGAAGCGCATCCCGGTCCGCGGCCGCCGCTTCTGCTCAGGGTCCTTGGTGGTCCCGGCCCCCTCTTTCTAAGGCCTGGAAAAGCCGGGCTAGGATGCGACCGAGGCCCTGTCCGGCCGATTCTATCCCTTTCTGGTTCTGTCCCCGGCAGCCACACCGTGCTCTGTCGGCGGCTCCGCCATCCCCCCACGAGGTCGCACAGGCCGGCGGCTCCGCCATCCCCCCACGAGGTCGCACATCCTCCTCCCGCAGAGCCCCCGCTGCTCTCAGTGCCGCCCAGCTGGGTCCTGGATGTCCCCGGTGCCCGGTACCGTCAGCAGCATGGCCCTGGTGGTGGCGGAGTCCTCCAGGGGCAGCTTCCTCCCGCTGAGCACGCCCTTCAGGTGCCTCCGGACCTCCTGGTTGAGCACGCAGTGGAAGAGGAGGACGAAGGGGCCCTGGAGGGAGGACGGCGGGCTCAGCCCCGGTGCTGCCTCCCTAGGAGTCCACCTGCCCTCAGGCGCCCCAGCACGGCAGAGCGGGGCTCACACCGCACCCTCGGCCTCGGGGCCCAGGACATGCCTGGCCTCCCCTCCTCAGGGACTGCTGCTTTCTGGGGGGCAGGTGGGGAAGCTCAGAAACCAAGACGCCTGCAGCAGGCCCCCGGTGCACTGGAGGCAGTGAGCGCCCCGGCTCGGGCCAGTCTTCTGGGCGCACCTCCCACAGTCCTCAGGGCTCTCTGGGGTCCCCCCTGTGTCATAAGTCCACCTGCTAGGCAAGCCTTGAAGTGGCCATTTTTAGGCAGAAGTGGCCCAGAAATGGCCATTTCTGCTCCCTGGAGACGCTGGCCCGGCCCTGGGGCCATCGTCCCCAAACACAGTGCGGAAGAGGCACGGGCCCCTGCGCTGGCTGAACAGGGGACGGAGTCCTCACAGACCCAGGAGGACCCCACGCAGGGCTGCTTTGCGGCAGCCCCCTACCTGTAAGCCGCTGAAGACGGCGAAGAGGTAGTGCAAGCTCAGAGCGTCACGGTTCACGGCCAGCAGCCCCAGCAGCCAGGTGGCGCTGATGAGCAGCAGCAGGAGGAAGGCGGTCCTCAGCAGGGAGCTGCGGGAGGGCAGCGTCAGCCCGGTACCCACCGCCCCCTGCCCCTACCCACTGCCTCCCTCCCTCGCTGTCTGCGCGTCCACCCACCTGCCCGTCCACCCGTGCACCCAGCCATCATCCACCTTGCTCCCTTCCTCCCCTCCTAGCCAGGCACAGACTCATCCAGGAACCAGAGATCGTGTTAGTGGGGACAGTGGTGGAATAAATCAGGAAGCAAATAAATCAGATGAGAAAACAGGAGCCGTGACGGACACCAGGCCAGGGGCCTGAGCCACGCCCGCGAGACACCCTGTGGAGGGCGCGAGGAAGAACCCAGGCCTGCCCTTGACGAGCTCCGCCTCCGTCTCCCCATCTGGAAAAGGGGATGACAAAGGAGCATTTCCTCCCAGGGTTCAGAGGGGATGGAGCACAGCAGGGTGACAGAGGCCGCAAGGTCCTCAGGTCAGGAATGGCACTGAAGACGGGGAACTGCTGAGGCCACGCCCTCCTGTGCCACCCTGAATCCGGCCTTCCAGCCACTCACCAGCGCTCCCTCTCCACCCCCTTCAGACTCTGCTGTCTCCTCCTGGCCCCCAGTCCCTGCTCAAGCCTCATCCCTTTGCCCATCCCTGGCTCAGTCCCATCTCCGCCAGGTCACCAGGGGCCACCTGGTTGTCCGACAGATGCCCCTACCATCCCCTCCTGACCCCAGCGTGGCTCCTGGACGCCATGCTGAGTCCTCCCGCGGTGGCCGGCTCCTCTGGGGGCCTCCTAGGTCCCCTCCCCTCCCTAGAACACTACAGGTCCCCTCCATGCTGGGCTCCTGTTCCACTGACCCCCTCTGATGGTGGGGGAGGGGATCTCCACTCCAGCAGCCCCAGCAACACCCTCATCACCCACCAGAAGCTTCCATCTTTCCTGCCCCGCCCATCTCCACTCTGGTGACTCCAGGCAGCCCAGTGCTGACAACACATCTGAACCTGGGTCGCTTCTGTGCCAGGTGGGAGGGACCGAGGCCCAGGGCTTGCTGCTGCCAGCCCCTCCCCTCAGCTAACCTCCCCCAGCCCCCGAGCCCCCTCCCCCCTGGCTAACGTCCCCCAGCCCCCCCCCACCTCCGCTAACCTCCCCCAGCCCCCGCCCCCCGGCTAACCTCCCCTGCCCCGTAGATGCAATGTGGGAGCCTCTCTCGAGCCCGGGCCTTCCCAAGGCTGCCCCCAGCCTCCTCCTTGAGGCACACATGTTCTTGTGCCCCACTGCCCCAGCACACAGACTGCACATGGGGGTCTCAGGGTCCAGTCAAGGTGGCTGCGTGGGATGAGCCCCACACCAGCTCCCACCCGCCGGTCACGTTCAGACCCACTTACACAATCCCTTTCTTTTCGTAATAATGGTGCTTTCTTTGGCAGGAAACCTTTGCAGACAGGACAAAAATGACTGTATTGATCTGAAACCAAGGTAAGTCGATCAGTGTCAGGTGGCCAACTCTTCTGTCTTGTCACCACAGCCCTCCAACTGCCAAACGCCCCTGAGGCCCTCACCCTGCTCCCCACCCCCTGCATCCCAGGGAGGGGTGGCTGGGTGAGGAGGCCCCGATCCCTGGCCTGTGGGGTGAAGCGCGCCTGTCCACACCCAGCCTGCCTGTGCGGGACCCTCCTGGGTGCTTGGCACAGACAGTCTCACATGGACAGGACGCGAGACCCAAATCCATGATCAGAGGGCAAAGCCCGGGAGGGGTCTGGCAGCCCCCCTGGGAGGGGCCTGTCACAGATGGCCCTTCCTGCCCTGCCTTGGCTGCTCAGAGTTGGCGGCCCCAGCCAGCCTAGGACACCCCTTCCAGCTGACACATACTTTGGGCACCTGGACTCCTGTGAAGGCCCCGCACTCACAATCATAACAGCTCCGACGGGCCCTGCAAAGCTCCAAATCAGGGTGTCTTGAAGGGACAGCCAGCAGAAGTCAGGGTTTCCGTAGCCCTGGGGGTCCAGGCCGACCGCCAGTCCTGAACACAGTGGGAGGCAGGGAAGGGTCAGGGCCACGTGCCCAGTGGCCACCCCTGCCAAGGGCCAGCCAGGGTGGGGTGAAATGGGGGACCCAGCATCTCCCTTCTCACAGGGGAGAGCGAGGGGCCTGAGGAAGGAGTCTCAGGCCCCTCTGAGCAGTCTCCCTGTGTGGGGTCTCAGGCTCGCTGTGCCATGGCCCGGGTGGCAGGAGCTGCTCCTGGATTGGCCCCATGAGGCAGGGGGCCTGTCTGGGCCAGGGGCTGCTGAGGAAGGCCACAGACCCTGGAAGGTGGCAGTGAGATGGTGCCTGGGAGAACCCTCCAGCTGGGCCATGTGGAGGTCAGGAGGCCGTGACGGTGCACGGGATGAGGCCCTGAGACAGATGGAGGACAGTGCCACCGCTGGGGGCCGTATTTGAGTGTTGGGGGGACGCCACACCACCCCATACCACATACAACCACGTGCACGTCATACACATAGACATACCCTATACACACGCATGCAGGCACGTACACACACGTGCACAGACAGGCATCAGGAGTATATATGACACCACCAGAGGCATACACCATACACACGTGCACACCACGTACACACTCCCAAAACCGCCTCGCCACCGAGCCTGCTCCGTGAGCTGCTTGTTCACACAAGGGAAGAAACGTTCTGAGGAGCAGCCATCGCCCCTCACCACCGTGTGACAAGCCAGATCCAGGCCGCCCGTGCGTGCGGAGCATCCAGATGGCAGGCAGGAGTGACCAGCAGCTGTGACTCGGTCTCTCTGGGCCCCTCCCCCACCCTGGCCCAGCCTGTGCTCCTCATTTGGATACTGAGAAGATCTCAGCCCCCTGCTGCCATCCCACTCCCTCTGAAGGAGCAGGTGACCCAGGACCAAGGACAGTCAGGAAGCCCCAGAGGGCCGGGCCGGGCCACAGCTACCGGCCAGTGCCTGCAGCTCAGTCTGAGGCTCCCAGGGAATTATTTTAAGATCTTGTGTGAGAGACCTCAGTGTTAAACAAAACAAAACAAAAAAACAAAACCTGTTTTTAAAGCAAGCTGGAAACGTGAGCTATCTGGAATTACCTCCAAAGCGCAGAGGCGTTGCGGAGACGTCCTCCGTCTGGGCGTCGAGGTGGCTTTTATACAAAGCCATGCGAGCCCCTTCTGGGTCACCCTCTTCATCTCAGTGTCTCTCATAGTAAGCCCTAATCTAGGCACAGTGTCGCTTGTCACATCACAAAGTGACAGCTGCCACCCCGCCCAACCTGCCCTCACCTCGACAGCGCTGTATGGAGGTGAAAAAGGTTCCTCAGCGTCCCTTAGAGTAGGGGGAGGTGAGTAACGTCACCACACCCTTGCCAGGAGCCTGTGTGGTTGCAGGCTGGCCAGCAACGTCGCTGTGGACGGTCCAGCAAGTGACTAGAATGGCACTGGCCCCAGAGTGGCTGCTGGATGCTGCCCTGGGGGTAACTGCCCCCTACTCCAGTGCCTCTGGCCTCAGACTTTATGTCCAACTCCCAGAACCCAGGGATTACCCAGGAAAAGAGCTTCGGTTCTTCCTTTTGTGAATAAAGGTGGATCTTTCTCAGTAGGGAACAAACTTCGACTTTCTGATTTTTAGCAACAAGTGTGCTGAAGTACAAAGTTTGTTATTCTGCTCATTGATTCACTCGTTCACTCACTCACTCATCCACCCGTTCCATCCACCCATCCACTCACCATCTCATCCACCCAGCTACCATTTCATCCATTCCTCTCTCCATCCCATCAACTCTCATCCCTCCAGCTAGTCTTCCACTCAGTCATCCTATCCATCCACCCTCCTGCTCCTCCATCCATCCACCCATCCATCACTCGTCTCTGTCCCTACATCCATCTACCCAGCCATCCACTCACACTTTCCCATCCCTCCATCCACCCAGTCACTCACCCCCACCCATCCACTCACCCATCCATCTAGTCACTCATTCCCTACCCATCCATCCATCCATCCACCCACCCACTCACCCACGCATTCACTCGCTCTTCCCTCTATCCTGCCTATGTGTAGACATGGGACGTCCGTCTGTTAGGTGCTGCAGCAATAACCCTGAGGAGACCTGGACCCAGCTCTCAAGGGGCTCACGCCTTACAGAAGACGTCTCCCCAGGTGTCTGCCATTGCCCCTGTGCATGCAGACCAGCGTGCAGGGCCGGGGCCGCCTCTGCTGGGGGCTGGGCAGGGAAGAGAAAGGACAGGTCTCCAGCACAGCCGGGGGGGCCTTGGCTCCCATGGTAACAACACGTGGATCCCCTGCTGAGCAGGGTCTGTTGGAAACCCGTATTTTAAGCAGGGCTGCTCTGTGCGTCCTCACCCGTGACAATGGCCGGGAGGCCCCAGCCCACGACGTAGTAGAACCGCATGGGCCCTGCGTCGATGTTGCGCACCTCGGTCAGCATGCGGTACACGTGCAGGCTCTCCACCAGGGTCCAGGCGAAGGTGCTCATGTAGATGAAGTGGAGGAGGATAGCGACCACGGTGCACAGGAACTGCGCGGGGAACGGGCAGATCAGCAAGCGCCCCTGCAGCCCGGGCTGAGGCCAGACAGGCATGAGAGAGGGTGGGAGGGCTAACAATTCCAGCCACGCTGTGCGTCTGTCCTCAACGGAGCAGGGCTACGTGTCTGGCCGATGGCTCAGAGCCAGGAACTGAAAATCAACATCCATGGGGCAGCTGAGCCAGCCCTGCCTGCCTGGACAGAGGGCGGCATGAGAATGACAGAGGCCGACCAGCCTCCAGGCCACAAACACACACCCATGCTCAGGAACTGTACCTGACACGTGGCCTGGGCCAGCTTCACACCCAGTACTCTGGGAGGGGCTGCCTGGCCAGTGCCCCCAAGGCTGCTGCCAGCTGGGAGAGGGTGGCAGGGTCTCCTCTGGGTCCTGGAAGGCTGAATCGGACAAGGCTGAGATGGCGGGGAAGGAGATGGGAGCATTTGGAGGGTCCCACCCTGACCCACCCACAGCTGGCCTGCTCTGGACACACTGTCTAATCCTCAGCAGCCATCCACCAGTCCACCCTACCAGGGGTCCCAGGGAACTACGCTTTAAAAGACACAAAAGGGTCGGAGGAGGAGGAGGGCCCCTGCCTCAACCCCAGGCTGGAGGCCACTTTGCTCAGGTACCGGGTCACGGCACCCCCAGGGGAGGCGGACACAGTGCGGGCGGCCCTGCTCCCACATCAGCCTCGAGGGGCCAGGCACCCTCCAAAAACAATGCCCCTGAGGTGGGGAGGGCCCCAAGTCAGCACCACATCTGTCAGATGCGGAACAGAGCAGGAACCAACGGAGAGAACGCAGGCTCAGGTTACGCTGGTGACAGCCCCTTGGCCCTGGAGCACGGACTTGGTCAGGAAACGAGGCGCGAGCGTGTGGCTGGTGAACCCTGCGCCCAACACCCCAGTTTCCTGAGTGGAAATCAGCCGGCTTAGGAAAAGGCAGGCGGCGAGAAGGCTGGTTGGCTGGATGGCTGTTTTAAATAACGTGAAAAGTATCGAGTATCAGATGCAGCAGCACATGGGGGGAAAAAACGTGAAAAGTAAACCCACAAAACCACCTTTTGAAAACAGAAAGTGCGCGGACTGTGCCGTCCCGGCTACAGCAGGGCGCACCTGCTTCCGTCACCGACACACCACCTTTTCCAGAAATAGAACAAAGACAAAAGCGATGCATACTAAATCATTTCAGCCTGCCAGTGCTCCGAGAGATGAAAAACCTCGCCCAGAGACAGGATTGCGGGTTTACAAAAACCCCATAAAGCCCAGGCACGCTGCCAAGACCCTAGAATGCTGCCCGGGCGCCCTTTTCCTTCTCCTGCTCAGCCGTGCGTGGCTGCGGGGACAGCGGGGAGATGAGTCATGCTGGAACCCGGGGGCGGCCTCGGCTCTGCTGGTGGGGTTCAGCTGCCGGGAGTGGCCTGCGCCTCCCTCTCCTCCATTCACACCACTCAGAAGCGCCTTCCCCGTCCAGTGTGCTGATGAGAACAAGCCCACTGCGGGGACGTGCCTGGCTGTGGGTGTGAAGAAAACCCCCCGACAGTCGCAGCGGCAGTGACTGCCATGTAGACCCCACACACGGAGCCCCCGCCAGCCCAGGGCCTCGGCCTCAGGGAGCACCTGAGAGCAGCGGGGAGGGTTGACCCTGGCTGGTCCGAACACGCCTCGGGGCTCATCCGTGGTGGGCCAGGCCTGGTGCTCCACCTCCCACTGCTGGGAAGCCGTGGCGCCTCCTCAAGGGTGAACCGCGGGTGTCAGGGGGTGCCCACCTTCCCTCTTGAGCTGAGGGGGGTCTGGAGAGGTCCCACTGCTTGCCGCAAAACCGGAGGAGCAGCGCAGGTCGGCACGTGGCCCTGAGCAGCTAGCCGGAAGGTTCCAGCTCAGTCTTTCTATTCCCTTCCGTCCCCAGGGCCTGCCCACTGCCACGGACACCTCTCCACCCCCGAGTTGGAGGCGGCCTCCCCTGCTCACGCCGCACACCTTCCTCGGCCCCGCAGGTGCCCCGTCTCACCCAGACCTTGCCTCTCAACACGTGGTGTCTTCATCTACTCACTCTCCCTTCTGGAAACGTCAAAGGCCCCCACCCCTCCTTCCTGGCTGGCCCTGTCCCTCCTTGCTGCCCATGCCCAGCGCCCTGGCTTGGGTTCTGGGTCCCCACTCCGCCTCCCAGGGTGTGTACTCATCAGACTGCTCTACTCCCCCGCCCGCCGTCCACCTGCTGCTCGGCTCCTGTTTCTATTTTTTTTTTTTTTTTGAGACAGGGTCTCACTCTGTTGCCCAGGCTGGAGCGCAACGGCGCAATCTCAGCTCCCTGCAACCTCTGCCTCCCAGGTTTAAGCGATTCTTGTGTCGAAACCTCCCGAGTAGCTGGGATTACAGGTGCCTGCCACCATGCCCAGCCAAGTTTGGGGTTTTTAGTAGAGATGGGGTTTTACTATGTTGGCCAGGCTGGTCTCAAACCCCTGACCTCAAGTGATCTGCCTGTCTCAGCCTCCCAAAGGTATCCTGCTGGGATTGCAGGAGTGGGCCACCACACCCAGCCCTTAAGTTAGTCTTGACAAGAGTCGTATTTTAAGTCTCAGATGTACTAGCGTTAACACTGTTCATAGTACTGCCTTCTCTTCTCATCCCCAGCACGGCTGCTATGTGCTTTTAGTCTCTTCTTTTTCAGTCTTAGATTTGTCTTTCAAAATGAATTAGGGATTTATTTTCTCTCGCGTCATTATTTTCTATTTCACTGATTTCATTATCTCCTTTCATACCTCCTCAATTTACCTCTAAATTCTGCCTTGATTCTACGCTGCCAGTTCCAATGTGTAATTTTCATTGACAACTTTGTCATTATGAATCTTCCCAATTCCTCTGAAATGTTTAAGGTCAGTCTGTGCTTTCTATAGGGATGTTTTGAGTTCATTTTATTAGGTACATAAAAATTTATAAGTTTATATCTTCCCAGTGAATGGACCTTTTTATAGCAGTGCTGTCTCTAAATATCATTGTTCATCCTCACGCCGAGTTAGTCTGCTTATTTTATATAGCCCTCAGGTTCACTCCGGCTGGTAGTTATCTGGCATCTCCCTTCTCATTATTCTCAACCTCTACCCTCTTGTACGCCTCCACACACGGGCTGACTCTGACCTGACTTTATCTTCTAGCTCTATGTCATGGGCAAGGTCCTATCTTTTTTTTGAGACCGAGTCTTGCTCTGTCACCAAGCTGGAGTGCAGTGGCGTGGACTCAGCTCACTGCAACCTCTGCCGCCCGGGTTCAAGTGATTCTCCTGCCTCAGCCTCTTCAGTAGCTGGGACTACAGGTACATGCCACCATGCCAGGCTAATTTTTTTGTATTTTAGTAGAGACAGGATGACCTCGATCTCCTGACCTCGTGATCGACCCACCTTGGCCTCCCCCAAAGTGCCGGGATTACAGGTGTGAGCCACAGTTCCTATCTTGATCTCACTGGCAGGGTGAAGCCACAGGGCTGTTCAGAACTAGTACCCATGGTATACGAACACAGACTACATTTCCCAGCCATGGCCACCGGTGCCTCCCTGGGCTCCACCGCAGCGGCCGGGCAGCGCCAGCCAGAGTTCTCGGCTCTCTTCCTCACTGGTTGCTGCCACCCCCTGGGTGTGCTCTGGTCTCTGCACCTCCCTAGCCCACTGCCTGGAGGATCTCTTGCCAGCTTTTTATCTCAGCCATCTCAGCCACTTCCTAGGGCAACCTCTGCTGTCACCCCAGCTGGGGAACCCCCCTCAGGGATGCTCAGCTGTGGGATCACCAGCTCCAGGAAGGCGGGGACGCGGACTGCTTATTCTATTCCCCGCTGTGTTCCCGGCCCCAGGCACACAGTAGGTGCTCATTCATTGCACAGCTACTGAGAGTGCGAATGGTGACTGAGGTAAAGGGTTAAATGCACCCAAAGTCACTGTGAATTCAGCAGCTCAAGATCCAATGTGGGTCAGCTCGCCCCAAACATAATTTCAGAAAAGGGCCCCGGCCGGGCCCTGTGGCTCACACCTGTAACCCCAGCACTTTGAGAGGGTGGGTGGATCACCTGAGGTCAGGAGTTTGAGACCAGCCTGGCCAACATGGTGAAACCTCGTCTCTTATGAAAAATACAAAAATTAACCAGGCCTGGTGGCGCATGCCTGTATTCCCAGCTACTAGGGAGGCTGAGGCAGGAGGATCGCTTAAAACTGGCAGGCAGAGGTTGCAGCGAGCCGAGATTGTGCCACTACACTCCAGCCTGGGTAACAGAGCGAGACTCCATCTCGAAAGAAAAAAACAAAGGGCTCCCATCTCCCAATAAAGAGTCAAGGTGGCGAAGCGCTTGGACCTGCTGGTGAATACCATGTCTCCACCCACAGCCTGTGACCCGGCAGGTTCCTCCCCTAGGGCATCTGCGAATCGGAGGTGGTGGCGGTGAGGAAGACGCCAGCCAGGGTGCTTGGAGTAGCCAGCACGGGACTGCTGAGGCAGGCGGATCACCTGAGGTCAGGAGTTCGAGACCAGCCTGGCCAACATGGCGAAACCTCGTCTCCACTAAAAATACAAAAATTAGCTGGGGGTGGAGGTGCACTCTGGGAGCAGGCTGTGAGGCGCAGCCCAGACAGTGGGGAGGGGAGCAGAGGGGTCGTACCGGGTTCTCCGTCTGGTTGATCCCCATCACGAACACCAGCTGAGAGAGGAAGAGCGCGGCGGCCAGGTGCTTGTGAATGCTGTGCAGGTTGGAGCACAGCGTGCGCACCAGGCTCAGGAGGACAAAGGCCACCAGAAGGGCTGCCAGCGACAGGGACACAGCGGCATAGCTGACGATCTTCAGCGGCAGCACCTCCCCATTCTGTGGGCGGGAAGGTTGAAGGCAGGAGAGAAGGTTAAGGGCCGAGGCTCAGATCCGGTCGTTGCGTAATAGACACAAATGACACACTTGCTTATTAAATGATCAAAGGCTGGCAGGAACCAGCGTGACCGTCACGTTGTTCTCAGGGCGGCACAAAACAAGCACAAAGCACAGATGAACAGTGTGGGGTGACAAGTTCTGGAGGTGGACGGTGGTGACGGCGGCGCAGCGACAGGAATGTACTCAGTGCCACTGGCCGTACATTTCGACGGGAAATTGGGTGTTATGCAGATTTTGCAACATCAGAAAACAATAAAACCTGCCCGGCGCAGTGGCACATGCCTGTAGTATCAGCACTTTGGGAGTCTGAGGCGGGGAGTTCACCTAAGGTCAGGAGTTCGAGACCAGCCTGGCCAAGGTGGTGAAACCCCGTCTCCACTAAAAATACAAAAATTAGCTGGGTGCGATGGCAGGTGCCTGCAATCCGAGCTACCCAACACGCTGAGGCAGGAGAATCCCTGGAACCCAGGAAGCAGAGAGGTTGCAATGAGCCAAGATGGTGCCATTACACTCCAGTCTGGGCAACAGAATGAGGCGCCATCGCAAAAAACAAAAACAAAAACAAACAAAACTAAAAACCCCACAGGCAATTCCTGCTTATGCAAAAGGTAAACGTGTCTCCTCCACAGGTGCATGCAACGCCTCTTGGACTTCCTCGTAATTCTATCACGGACTTACTCTTTTGGCTGAAAGACTTACTCCCACTTTACAAAGAAAATGAGTCATTGTGGTAAAACGACATGAACGCAATCTCCTTTGTTCAGCAAAACCTTTTACTGAGCACTTATTATGTGGCAGGGGTTCTGACAGACCTGACAAGTGCACTGGTCCCTATCATCCTTAGATCACAGCTCTGAGGAGAGGGCGGATGTGACCCTCACCTTCCTTCCAGGTGAGAAAACCAACGCTGAAAGAAGCCAAACAGGCTGGGTGCAGTGGCTCACGCTTGTAATCCCAGCATTTTGGGAGGTCAAGGCTGGTGGATCACCTGAGGTTGGGAGTTCGAGACCAGCCTGACCAACATGGAGAAACGCTGTCTCTACTAAAAAAATACAAAATTAGCCAGACGTGGTGGTGCACGCTTATGATCTCAGCTACTTGGGAGGCTGAGGCAGGAGAATCCCTTGTATCTGGGAGGGGGAGGTTGCAGTGAGCTGAGATCACGCCACTGCACTCCAGCCTGGGCAACAAGAGCAAAACACACACTCACTCTCTCTCTCTCTCTCTCTCTCTCTCTCTCTCTCACACACACACACACACACACACACACACACACACGCGCTAAACAACTCGCCGAGCAGGGGCAGAGCTTCAGGTTTCAGTTATGTGGACTGGCAGCCTCAATGCTTCAACTGCCATGGCGATGGGCATCTGTACCCTCCCCATCCAACCTGTTGTTCCTACTTAATCCTAACTATGACGTGTTCTATCATTACCAGCAGCACACGGATGTTCTATGCCAGCTCCACATGTCTCTATCACAGCTTGTTATATGAAATTACTTTTTAAATTTCCATTATCTCTTTTTTTTTTTTTTTTTTGAGACAGGTCTGGCTCTGCTGCCCAGGCTGGAGGGCAGAGGTTCGATCTCAGCTCACTGCACCCTCCGGCTCCTGGGCTCAAGCCATCCTCCTGCCTCAGCCTGCCAAGTAGCTGGGACTACAGGCATGCACCACCATACCTGGCTAAATTTTGTATTTTTGGTTGAGACCACCTCCAACCCTGTTTCACATGTTGCCCAGGCTGGTCTTAAACTTGTGAGCTCAAGTGATCTGCCTGCCTCAGCCTCCCAAAGTGCTGGGATTACAGCTGCGAGCCACCACACCCAAGCTTATTATGCATTTCTTACAGGCAGTGAACATGTCTTTATAAAAAAGGCTGGGTATGGTGGCTCACACCCGTAATCCCAGCACTTTCAGAGGCCTAGGCAGGTGGATCACCTGAGGTCAGGAGTTCGAGACCAGCCTGGCTAACATGGTGAAACCCAGTCTCTACTAAAAATACAACAATTAGCTGGGTATGGTGGTGGGAGCCTGTAATCCCAGCTACTTTGGAGGCTGAGGCAGGAGAATCACTTGAATCCGGGAGGTGGAGGTTGCAGTGAGCTGAGGTTGCGCCACTGCACTCCAGCCTGGGCGAAGAGCAAAACTGTGTCTCGGCCGGGCGCGGTGGCTCAAGCCTGTAATCCCAGCACTTTGGGAGGCCGAGGCGGGTGGATCACAAGGTCAAGAGATCGAGATCATCCTGGTCAACATGGTGAAACCCCGTCTCTACTAAAAACACAAAAAGTTAGCTGGGCATGGTGGTGCGTGCCTGTAATCCCAGCTACTCAGGAGGCTGAGGCAGAATTGCCTGAACCCAGGAGGCGGAGGTTGCGGTGAGCCGAGATCGCGCCATTGCACTCCAGCCTGGGTAACAAGAGCGAAACTCCATCTCAACAAAACAAAACAAAACAAAACAAAACAAAACAAAAAACTGTGTCTCAAAAAAAAAAAAGAAAGAAAGAAAAGTTGTGCTAACATATACATGACATAAAACGTACCCTCTTGGGGAAGTGTTCAGTCCAGCAGAGTGTATGCTCACACTGCTGTGTTTTCCGTGCTTTTATAAACCAGGACACCTGTCCAGGCCCCAGGCCCCTGGGGAGTTTCTGCATTTACAAGCTATGGTTCTCTGCTATCTTCTGGAAGGGGTTGCTTACCAGATGGGACTGAGCTGGGAAGCCAAGATCAGGCTGGGCCGGGGAGGCCGAGTGCTCATGGCCCTGGGCCTGGAACTGCCCCTCCGGAGGCTCCTTCAATGCTCTTGGCCCTGGGTGTCCCTGGGGCCTGCAGCAACACCCCAGGCTCCCTCCACTGGCTCGGGGGCTGTTCAGAGACTCTGGCTTTGGGGCACCCGGACCACAGGAGCCTCGGACACCCACTCCAGCCTCCTTTCTTCTGCCTCAATTTCAGCCTCCTTGGCCCACATCACCTGGCATCCTGGCCAGGAGACCACCTCCAACCCCGCCTTTCTATGAACCAAGTCCACTAACCACTGATGCCTCTCCAGGCTGGGTCCTCTCCAGTGCCTTCTGCCCATGAGACGGGGGCACAGACAGGGCACCTTCCCATGCACATTGCACAGAACGCTGCAGCCCCCCTCCAGCCCTGCCTCAGGACTGACTCACCCTTCCAAGAATGTGACAGAAACCAGGGCCACTTCACATCAGAAAGCCCTCGCGAAGGACGGTGATCTGGACGCCTGAGCCACAGCGCAGCCCTGGGGAGGGGCCGGGGAGGCCACCCAGACCTCTGGTTCTGCCTCCTAGATACCGGGTCCCACACAGGCCGCCCCAAGCTGGCTCCTACCCCTTTCCTGTCTGGGTGATGGGAGGCCAGGCCAACGCTCAGGCCACTCCCCAATCCACCCGCAGGCCCACAATGGCCGGCTCACATTCCCAGGCCGCTTAAAATGCCAGGGGTTAAACATTAGCCGCCCAGCCTTTTGTCCTGCGGCCCTGCGTGTGGCCCCGAGGGAGAGTGCTCACTGTGCTCTGCAGCTGTCACCTCCCCTACAATCAAAGCGGGTCGACAGCGGCACCTTCCAGCAGACCCGCTCTGAAGCGAGGGGCAGATCCTGGGAGCTCCTTGGAGGCTGAGCTTTGGGTCTGTCATCCCCGGGTTTAATGCACAAGCAGGGCTCCCTGAAAACCCTTGTCACGGGGCTTTGTGATGGAAATCCTCGCGGACTCTGGCCAATCCTGGAATGTTTTTTAACTGGTTCATGTGCTTTGTTCAAGGCACTTGCCGTGGAAGATTTCGTTTGAGGAGGGGGCAGGCTCGGGGGTAGGCTTGGCGGGCACAGCGGCCGCAGGAGGATGCCCACCTCACGCCTGGAGATGTCCATGAGCACCGCGAAGCTGGCCGTGTGGCTGCACTGGCATGCGACGTGCGTCCGGTTTCTGGACAAGAGCTCACACCCCCGGGCAGACCACCCTCCCGTCCCACTGACGCTGCGGAGAGAAGAGAGAAGGGGCGGGGGTGAGATGGTTCCCTCTGCCCATGAGTCTGTCGGGGGCAGCCTTTGCCCAGCCCTGGGGGCTCACAGGCCATCCTGGCCAAACCAAACAGCAGGTATCGTGAATGATGAAAGCCCCGCGTCCTCGCAGGCTGCTCCCCACCATGCTCCTCACCAGCCCCCTGCACCGAAGACAAGAGACACCCGTGGCCAGGTGTGGTGGCTCACACCTGTAATCCCAGCACTTTGGGAGCCGAGGTGGGGGGATCACGAGGTCAGGAGTTCAAGACCAATCTGGCCAAAATCGTGAAACCCCATCTCTACTAAAAATACAAAAAATTAGCTGGGTGTGGTAGCGTGCACCAGTAATCCCAGCTACTCGGGAGGCTGAGGCAGGAGAATCGTGTGAACGCAGGAGCCAGAGGCTGCAGTGACCTGAGATCACACCACTGCACTCCAGCCCTGGCGGCAGTGCAAGACTCTGTCTCAAGGAAAAAAAAGCCACCCAATGAAGGCAGGACCATGGGGAGTCTCCCTTCCCTCTTGTGTCTTGTCAGGGCCTCCAAGGAGCAGCCTCTGAAGTTCAAGTTCTATGTGTCCTCTGGCAGCAGAACTCAAACGGGGCCGTCTCATGTCCACCACACGCCCTGCTGCTGGAACCGCCCCCTGGAGTTCACACAGCTGTCTCCTTCTGAGGATAGACGCTTTCACAAGAACATCTCACCTTCCTCTGACACTTTCATCTTCAGATTGCACAATGTTTTATGGGAGCTGCCCTGAAGCCAGGGCCCCATAGTGACTCCCGCTTTCCTGATGGGAAGCCCCAAATAACAAGCTGTTATGAGGTGTGTCTCAGCTTCAGACAGGACTGTGCCCTCCCAGACTCTGGGAAAATCACATCATCTCTCAGATCCTTAGTTTGCTCGCCTATAAAATGGGATGTGAACGCTAATATGTTTGCCATGAACTTTACAATCTGGGAATAATAGGTACAACATAAAGCAGAGAGCAGGTCATTAGAGCCAGAGCTAATTGCCAGGATGCAGATGAATGCCCAGGACAGACAGCTGGCCCGATGTCCCTCGTAGTGAAAGGGGTTCCTTTATTCTCTCCTTTATAAGCCAAGTGCCTATTACATTTTAGATACTGTGCTGCTTGCTCATTAACTGGGACTTGGAAGGCACAGAACCAGGAGAAGGCTGGCCTGAACGGGCTCCTGGCATGGGCTTGCTCACCACGGCGCGGCCCCCCGCACAGCTGCCACTCATGGCTCTCCAATGTGCCCAGGGGAACCGTGGTGAGGGGAGGGGGGAGTGTTCCCGCTGCACAGACACCCCCAGATGCACAACTTGCAGCCGATTTGAGCCTGGGGGTGCTCGCGCTCTGACTCCCCGAGTCCTGCACGGCGTGTCCCCTTCCTGGCACTCCCTCCCGGTGTGTGGACACAGTGGGTCTCCCCACCAGATCATGCTCCCATCCTCCCACCACCCCCCAGTTCTAGTGTCTTCTTCTAAACAGAGACAGCAAAAGTGAAAACGAACCAGTAGAGTAAAAGCAAGCTCCTGGTAAAGACAGAGCAACTCAAAGAAGTCCACACCTCACATAAACCCTGCAGCTAAAAAGGCACAGCAAAGCAGGAACACCACCGGCTCCCAGCAGAGCTGAGCCACGCGACTCTGAACCCAGTCTCACGTGTGGGTGAGAATCACCCATTCTGTGTTTTTCTAACTACGAAACGCCTTTCCCTCACTGGGACACATGCTGAAACAGACTCTGGCGCACCACCTCCCGCCTTCGACACTCTGCTGGCTGGCTCTCTGATGCTGCTTCTGGCCTGTGCTGCGGCCAGATATGGCCGCTTGGGGGTAAAGGCAGTCCCCAAAGCTGGGCTGTGTCAGCCTCTTGGGCAAGACTAAGAGCAGGGGCCCTTGTCTGGTATGGGGACCCCCACACATAGCTGGGAGTTTCCACTGTCAGCAGAAGGGCTCCTGAGCCCAATCTCTGGGTCTGCCCTCCCGTGTGTGACCAGGACAGGCCTCTGTCTTATCCAGCAGTGAACTGGCCAATACACTAGTGTGGCCACTGCATCTCGGGAGTCCTGTAGGTGAGGAGCCCCTTCCTGGGTGTCAGCCTTGAGGGATCTCTCTGTGCACCTGCATGTCTGGCTCTCCACGTGTGGGTCTGCATGCATCTGCGTGTGTGCATCTGTGCGTGCGAGTCTGCGGGTGTGCGTCTGCGGGTGTGAATCTGCATGTGCATCTGCACGTGTGCGTCTGTGGGTGTGCATCTGTGTGTGCGAGTCTGTGGGTGTGCGTCTGCGGGTGTGTGTCTGCGGGTGTGCATCTGCGCGTGTGCATCTGCGGGTGTGCACCTGCGGGTGTGCATCTGTGGGTGTGCATCTGCGGGTGTGCATCTGTGCATGTGCATTCTGCGGGTGTGCGTCTGCGTGCGAGTGTGGGTGTGCATCTGGGGTGTGCGTCTGTGCGTGTGAGTCTGTGGGTGTGTCTGCGTGTGTGCATCTGCACGTGTGCATCTGTGCGTGTGCATCTGCGGGTGTGCACCTGCGGGTGTGCATCTGTGCATGTGCATCTGTGGCTGTGGATCTGTGTGTGGGCCTGCATGTGTGTGTGCATGTCTGCGTCTCCATGTGCAGGTCTGTGTATGTCTGTGTGTGGGCATCTGGGGGTATCTGATGCTCCCACAGAAGCAGAGCAGGAGGCTGACTGTCCCACAAGGGGCTGGAAGGGGAGACACAGACCACAAGGGACCATCCTCGTGGGACTCTCTGCCACCGATCCCCCAACCCTGCGGTGCTCTCTGCCTTGGCTAAGCTCTCACATGGGGATGTGGGGCTCCCGGCGCCACACTTACGCCAGAGAGTGGTTCCAGAACACGCAGACGGGCTTGGTTCGCTCCTCCGTCTCCAGCAGGGCGAACTCCACCAGGACGGGCCTCTCCAGGGGTCTTGGGAGCAGAGCCCCCTCACTGTACACCAGCGTGCTCACCATCGGGGTATTAATGACGGGCCGGTGAGGCAGCCTGGAGTCAAGAAGCCAGAGCATGTGGACAAACAGGGTTAGGAAACGTTCACTCAAATCCCACACACAAACGCCCTGAGGACATGCCACGGATGTTTCTAGGGGAGACAGAATTACACTCAGAGAGCTCGGAGCTGCAGGCCCACCGAGTCGTCACCCCCCGGCACAGGTTTCATCACTAACACAGCACACAGGGAGATGTGTCATCTTTGGGTCAGCAATTTAAAAAGAAACAGCAGGCACAGGTGTGAAGACGTTACAGCCGTTAACAGTTAACGGCAGACAAACACGGGGTGGCTTAAATGTCCAAAGACACCAAAATAATGGCAGCTCCTGTGGGTGAATCACCCGGTCACTGAGAACCACATGATCATGAGGACCCCAGAGTCAGGGAGGTGTCTGGGAAACGGCAGGAGGAAGAAGGGCAGAGACTCGGGCTGCTCCCACCGAGGGGGCCACAAAGCTGCTTCTGGACATCCATCCTTTCCAGCCCGGATGGCTGAGCAGCCCTAAAGCCCCAGGGCCAGCAGCAGGCACCACCCACGACAGCCTCGGGTCCGGTGTGTGGGGAGAGCATGGGGTCCCTCGGGGCATGGGATGGGGCGTATGCTGGGGAGGGGACATTTCTGGTGGAAGCACTGGGATAAGCCCAGGCAAAGGATGTGCAGTGCTCCAGGGGATGGCATCCAGTGGCAGACCCAGAACCTCCCTCCAAGGGACACCACAGGGCAGTGGTCTCTGCCTCTGGGCCAGGGTCCTGGTGAAACGCTGCCGTGAAGATCTGTGCTTGATCTAGATCAGAATTTTGACTTGTAGAAGCCTTGGGGACCTCTGAAACGGACCCTCCCCACGTCCCCGTGCCCAGGCCTTACCGAAGGCTTCGGCGGTCTGGGTCATAGCGCTCGGGCAGGAACTGCCCCAGGGTGCGGTAAATGATGACCAGAGCAACGGCGAACTGGCCAGCATCATCAGGGTGTCGCCTCCGCCTGCTGATCAGGGCCTCCCTCTCGGTGCCCAGCCCCAGGCGCGTGGTCTGCGGGGTGGTCCTCCGGCCGGCTGGCCTCCCCAGGGGGCCTTCTGCAACGTGAGCAGAGAGTGAGGACTCCGGCAAGAACACCTGCATTCTCCAAGACCGAGGTCAGGGCCAGCAAGCACTTCTCAAAAACCAACAGATGTCCCACTGAAGGTCCTCAAAAAATCAAAAATAGGATTTACCACATGGCCCAGCAAGCCCCCTTCTGGCTCTGCACCCAAAAGATTGAACGCAGGGACCCAGATACTTGCACACCCACGTTCACAACAGGCCAAAAGGTGGACGGGACCCAGGCATCCATCCACAGTTGAGAGGATGAACACACGTGGTCCATCCACACAATGGAATATTACTCGGTCTTCAAAAGGAAGCAAAGTCTGCCGCTTACCACAACATGGGTGAACCTAGAGAACATTACGCTCAGAGAAATAGGCCAATCACGAAAGGACAGACAATCGTGTGATTCCACCTATAGGAGTTCCCTACAGGAGTCCGATTCAGAGCGGTGGGCACCAGGGCTGGGGAGGGGTGTTGGTGTTTTGTGGGCTAGAGTTTCAGATCTGCAGGATGGAGAGAGTTTTGGAGACGGAAGGCTTCAACATGAATGTATCTGATGCAGTCTGGATGTCTGGCCCCTCCAAATCTCACGTTGAAATGTGATCAGCGTTAGACCTGCATGTGGTCGGGGGTGTTGGGGGTCACAGGGGTGGATCCCCCATGAATGGCTTGGTACCTCCCCTTGGTAATGAGCAAGTTCTCACTCTGTTAGTTCCATTCGTTCCGGGGAGAGCTGAATGCAGTGGAGGGCTAGTCAGTTTCAAATCTCACCCTCTCGGTTTCAGGCATGGCCCCGTATCGGAGTCACCCCTCTTTTTAAGACATGAGATATACCCGACAAAATCACTTTAGTCACAAGGTTTCCAATTCCAAACCGTCCATTATGGGGTTTACCTTTTCATTTTCATGTCCTTTTTATTTTGGGAAGTTTTTAGTGATTGTCATGGATCTGTGAAAAAGCACCTTAGGAAACTTCAGAATGTTTATACTGTTTTGTATCACCACCTCAACCCAGGACTGAAGATTTGTACACACACAGATGGCACTCTGGTTTGGGGTTTGTTGTTGTTTTTTTTCAGGGAGGGGAAGGTGACTCTAAAATTTTTATTTCTATTTGAAAGCGGCTTTCCACCCCCCACCCCCACACACAGGTTCTTGCTCTGTTGCGCAGGCTGGGCTGCAGTGGCATGATCACAGCTCACTGCAGCCTCCATCTCCTGGGCTCAAGCAATCCTCCCGCCTCAGCCTCCTGAGTCCTGAGTAGGTGGGACTACAGGTGGGCACTACCGTGCCTAGGGAATTAAAAAACAAACTTTTTTGGTAGCAATGGGGATTCCCTGTGTTGCCCAGGTTGGTCTTGAATTTCTGGGCTCAAGCGATCCTCCCCAGGTCAGCCTCCCAAAGCGCTGGGGTTACAGGTGTGAGCCATCGCACCCAGCTAGAAGCAGCTTTTCCCTACACACCAAAGACGACCAGTGTGCACACAAATTTCAGTTCTCTTTTCTTTTTCACATTATCAATTATATGGCTGAGTATCCCTCAGCTGAAATGCTTAGGAACATTTTGGATTTTTGTTTTTGAGAGAAAGTCTCGCTCTGTAGCCCAGGCTGACACATCTCAACTCTGCAACCTCCGCCTCCCGCGCTCAAGGGATTCTCAAGTCTCCACCTCCTGAGTAGCTGGGATTACAGGTGCCTGCCACCACAGCTGGCTATTTTTTCTATTTTTCAGCAGAGACGGGGTTTCACCATGTTGGCCAGGATGGTCTCTAACTCCCGACCTCAAGTGATCCGCCGCGCCCAGCCTGGATTTTAATTTTTGGTAAGTATCGTTTCATACTTATGCTACAACAAGCACTTCCTTCCAGCGTCAGGTTGGTGCACGAGAAGGCTCAGACTCTGAAGCAGTTCAGATTTCAGGACTAGGATGCTCAACCATACCTAAGCGCTTGTTCGAAACAACTCGAGGTCACCGATAGGACCTGGCACCGGCGAACGCTTGGAACACCCCAGCCCCGGATCTTCAGTGCCCACAGAGCATGGCGTGTTCGCCCTCCTGGGATGCTGCAGGGGGGCCTTCCCCTCCCTGAACACTGAGGGCATCGAGGGTAGCAGCAGGTTTCTAAGAACTTTTACCTTTTTCTTCAGGTGGTTTGAAGAAGTCAGCTGGGAAGGAGACGGAGGACTGCAGCTCCCTGGGGAACTCTTCCTGAATGGCATCGAACCGTGGTACTGTGGCTCCCGTGAAGTTGAACTTGTCAAAGACGTCGACAGCAAGAACTAGGGGGACAGTTCCTTTAATCAGACATAACCCCCACGGCTGCCTTGAACCCTTGCTGGTTTCAAAATGACCACAACTGTCATACTGATTGGCTGGCCTTATTTACTTATTTATTTATATTTTTTATTACCAGTATTTTTTTTGAGATGGAGTTTCACACTGTCTCCCGGGCTGGAGTGCAGTGGCGTGATCTTGGCTAACTGCAACCTCTGCCTCCCAGCTTCAACCAATTCTCCTGTCTCAGCCTCCCGAATACTGGGATTACACGCGTGCACCATCACGCCTGGCTAATTTTTTCTGTCTTTTTGGTAGAGATGGCATTTCGCCATGTTGGCCAGGTTGGTCTTAAACTCCTGACCTCAAGTGATCCACCTGCCTCAGCCTCCCAAAGTGCTGGGATTACAGGCACGAGACACTGTGCCCAGCCTATTTATTTATTTATTTATTTATTTTTTTTGAGACCCGGTCTCACTCTCTCACCCAGGATGGAGTGCAGTGGTGCAATCTCAGCTCACTGTAGCCTCAATCTTCTGGGCTCAAACAATCCTCCCACCTCAACTTCCCGAGTAGCTGGGAATACAGTAGCATGCCACCACACGTGGCTAATTTTTGTATTTTTTTTTAATAGAGAAGGAGGGGGTCTCACTACAGTGCCCAGGCTGGTCTCGAACTCCTGGGCTCAAGCAATCTGCCCACCTTGGCCTCCCACACTGCTGGGATTACAGGTGTAAAGTACCATGCCTGCTTGACTGACCTATCTTTAGAACACAATCGATTTCCAACTTCCTGCGTCCCACATGTACCTACACTTGTCTGCAGTGAGCCTGGAGGGAGGCAGGACCTCTGACACGCAGCCTTCTAGAGGCTCACACCTTAGGGTCTGGAAGACCTGCCTGCCAGACACGCAAGACCATGGCCCAACATCTCCCAAGCCCGGGACCTGGCCCCTGGGAGCGATGGGTGTGTCACTGCAGACTGTCTTCCCAAAGACTCCATTTACAGATGAGGAAACAGAGGACTAGCTGCTGAATCTTGTTTTTTTGAGACAGTCTCCTGTGACCCAGGCTGGAGTGCAGTTGCCCGATCGTGGCTCACCGCAACCTCTGCCTCCCAGGTTCAAGTGATTCTCCTGCCTCAGCCTCCAGCGTAGCTAGGACTACAGGCGCACACCACCATGCCTGGTTACTTTTTCTATTTTTAGTAGAGACGGGGCTTCACCGTGTTGGCCAAGCTGGGTCATAGGATTTACCACATGACCCAGCAAGCCCACTTCTGGCTCTACATCCAAAAGACTGGAAGCAAGCACCCAGATATTTGCACACCCACATTCACACAGGCCAAAAGGCAGACAGGACCCAGGCATCTGTCAACGGATGAGCCGACTCCTGACTTCACACGATCTGCCTGTCTTGGCCTTCCAAAATACTGGGGTCACAGGCATGAGACACCGCGCCCTGACCCCTGAATCGGTTTCCTAAGAGCATGGCTAAGCATGGCCGGGAGCCCACCTGCTACACCCATGGGGGCCCAGCTCGTGGGCACACCCAGGATGGTCGCGGGGCTCCACCCCCCACGCAGCCAGTGCCTTACTCATGTTGGCGGTGACAATGACGAACGGCCGCAGGTACGTCCGCCGCACGTTGCGTGCCACGTTGCTGAAGTAGCCCTCGAGGTGCTGGAGCAGCTGTGCTGTGCCACCCTCGCTCCGCTGGATCTGCTCCCACGCCGCCCTGGTGGTCGGGGCCAGGAGGGCGCTGCCCGAGTAGATGATGTCCTGGTCAGACAGACAGCGCTCAGCGCTCCGCAGCGGAGGGAGGCCTGGCTCTCGGGACCAAGGGACACCAGCCCTGAAAGCCTTTGCTCATCTAGTGGCTCATTCATTCATTCCGGCCCCGCACTTTAGACTGTGCGCTTAACATGAGTTTACAATGTTTTTTTGTTGTTGTTGTTTTGTTTTTGTTTTGAGATGGAGTCTCGCCTCGCTCTGTCGCCCAGGCTGGAATGCAGCGGTGCGATCTCGGCTCACTGCAACCTCCACCTGCTGGGTTCAAGCAATGCTCCTGCCTCAGCCTCCTAAGTATCTGGGTTTACAGGCATGTGCCACCACACCGGTTAATTTTTGTATTTTTAGTACAGACAGGGTTTCATCACATTGACCAGGCTGGTCTCGAACTCCTGACCTCAGGTGCTCCACCCGCCTTACCCTCCCAAAGTGCTGGGATTACAGGTGTGAGCCACTCAGCCTGGCCTAGTTTCCATTTTTTTTTTTTTTAAAGTTTACCATCTTAAGAGGAATAGAAAAATGTTACTAATCTCACAAAGTATATAAAAATCCAGAGAATTCAAGATGCTTCATATTTTTACCCTTATTTATTAGACTTACAGCACTATTTAAATACTTGGAAGATCTGTTTGCTAGCCAAACAACTGAAATACAAAAAGAAAGATCAAATATCTGACATATAATTCCATTTATAATACGTTAAGGGAATTTTTTTTTTTTTTGAGACAGGGTTTCCCTCTTGTTACCCAGGCTGGAGTGCAATGGCACGACCTCGGCTCACCGCAACCTCCAGCTCCTGGGTTCAGGCAATTCTCCTGCCTCAGCCTCCTGAGTAGCTGGGATTACAGGCACGTGCCACCATGCCCAGCTAATTTTTTGTATTTTTAGTAGAGACGGGGTTTCACCATGTTGACCAGGATGGTCTCGATCTCTTGACCTTGTGATCCACCTGCCTCGGCCTCCCAAAGTGCTGGGATTACAGGCGTGAGCCACCGCGCCCGGCCTTATGTAAGGGAATTTCATGGTGTAAGTTTATAAATAGGATCAAAAATTAATCAAAGTTGAATTCAAAGAGGTAAGGAAGTCATTTCTTAGAGTGTGGTTTGCACACATCCCGAACCCCACCACATAAGCTAGAGAGACTGTGGGTGATTCAGTGCCAGAGGCCCAAACTGTCAGAGTGAGCCCTGCCAGACGTTTTTCCACATACACCCCAAGACGCTAAGGTGAAGACATGTGGAGATGTCCCTGGTTTTATCAGAACTCCTCCCAAAGCCCACACTGAGGCTACCATGGACACTCAGGCAGCTCCTCCAAGGGTGACCCTCTGTCTCTGTGCACCCTGGGGTCTCTGTGAATGGCTGGGTGGAGGTGTGGGGCTATGCTCAGGGGTTTGGGGACCACACCCAAGGCAGACACCAGGGCTGGGCACAGTGGCTCACACCTGTAATCCTAGCACTTTGGGAGGCTGAGGCAGGTGGATCACCTGAGGTCAGGAATTTGAGACCAGCCTGGCCAACACAGTGGAAACCTGTATCTACTAAAAACACAAAAAATTAGCCAGGCATGGTAGCAAGTGCCTGTAATCCCAGCTATTTGGGAAGTGGAGGCAGGAGAATTGCTTGAACCCAGGAGGTGGAGGCTGCAGCAAGCCGAGATCTCGCCACTGCACTCTAGCCTGGGCAAGAGAGTAAGACCCCATCTCAAAAAAAAAAAAAAAAGAAAAAAAAGAAAAAGAAACCAGGAGAGAACTTATTTGTAAGGTCACACATGGAGAACAAATACCACTGGCCCAACTCTCAGGCTGGGACTCAAATCCCAGCGAGAGGACCCTGCCTTGTCTCTGGGAGCCTTGTGCAGACCGGAAGGTCTCATAGGGGTCCCTGCATGGACTGGAGGCCCTGTGTGGGGCCTGCATGGATGGGGAGGTCCCTGAGGGCTCCATGTGGATAGGGTGAGGAACGGGCCACCCCCATGGGCTCTGTGTGGACAGGCACTCCTCTGGGGGTCCTGCATGGGTGAAGAGACCTGCCCAGGAGCCACAGGAAACTTCTGGAGCCTCCAAGAGCTGTTTCCAAACATCAGTCTCTTAACAGACACTGCTCAGGGGCTGACAACTTTGGCACAGGGCGGGAGGGTGGAGATAGAGGCATGCCCTCTGAAAGCCCACTGCCCGGCACTGCCCCTTACGAGCTGTGCCTCTGGGCAAACCCCTCAGCTCTCCGTGCCTCCGTTTCCTTACCTGTCAAACGGGTGGACGATACTACATCACAGACTGTGTGGAAGCGAGAGGGGGCTGATTCAGGTCAGCCACTTAGAACCTTTGTTTTTTTGAGACGGAGTCTCGCTCTGGGACCCAGGCTGGAGTGTGGTAGCATGATCTCAGCTCACTGCAACCTCCGCCTTCCAGGTTCAAGTGATTCTCCTGCCTCAGTTTCCAGAGTATAGCTGAGACTACAGGCACACGCCACCATGCCTGGCTAATTTTTGTAATTTTAGTAGAGACGGGGTTTCACCACATTGGTCAGGCTGGTCTCAAACTCCTGACCTCAGGTGATCCACCCGCCTTGGCCTCCCGAAGTGCTGGGATTACAGGCGCGAGCCACCGTGCCCTGCCAGAACCTCTTAGAAGCCACTTAGTTCACACTACGGGCACTACTGAGCTCACCCACGGGGCTGTGACCTGTGTGTTTCCTCCCAGAATACTCCCTAACTTGCATCGTCCATTTAGCTGGGCGCCACACCTGCCAGGGCTCACATTTGAGAAATGAGTGTTTTCCTCCGGGATTCCAGACACGACCATCTTCTACAAAGCTGGGGTCGATGCCCGGCCCCATAGCGCCCGCCCGCCGGCATCCCTGAGTGTCCCCGAGCCGGGCCTGCGGCCACCCTCCTACCTCATGGAAGTCAGCGTCCTGCGTGGCCGCCAGGTCGAAGCCCTGCTGCCGGCTCTCATGCTGCAGGACGTGGCCCAGCAGCTGGTAGGCCGTGCGCACGTCATTGCCGGAGAGCGTGGCCGTGTGCCGCGTGGCATTGCGCAGAGCCCTCACCAGCTGCAGGGCCCCAGCGCCGTCCACCTGCGTCTCGTTGCGGCTCAGCTTCTCGTTCTGGAACAGGGAGGAAGTTGTGAGGTGTGCAAACACACTTGGTTGCTTTCAGTCCCTGCTGTGACTCAGAAACTCACTACCGTCTGGTGCAAGTTTCCTTGTCAGAAAGGAAATTCAAAAATCCAAAAGCCTGGCCAGGCGCGGTGGCTCGTGCCTGTAAGCCCAGCACTTGGGAGGCCGAGGCAGGTGGATCGTTTGAGGTCAGAAACCCTGTCCCTACTAAAAATACAAAACATTAGCCAGGCATGGTGGTGGGCACCACGTCCCAACTACTCGGGAGGCCGAGACAGGAGAACTGCTTCCCTCTGGGAAGCGGAGGTTGCAGTGAGTTGCGACTGTGCCACTGCCCTCTAGCCCGGGAGGCAGAGTGAGACCCTGTATCAAAAATTTTAAAAATCCAAAACCTCAAAAATGAGCACTGCTGGTAGTTAGAGCATGGAAACGAGGGTCTGGTGGGCGACAAAGGACTTGGAGCAAGACCCGGGAACGACCCCCGTGAGACAGGGCAGGGTCAGAGGGCACAGGGGGTCAAACGCAGGGACCCCTGCGCTTTCAGAACCAAAGACGCAGAGCCGGTGTTGGCGGAAAGAGAAGTACCCGTGGGGGTGCCCGGTTCAGGTGCCAATGCCCCAAAGTCACAGAAACCTGCTGGCTGTAGGCTGCTGGCCCATCGGGCCATCCCTGTGTCATCCCAGCTATCCCAACACTCCCCAGCCCAGGAGCCTCGGCCCACACAAACTCTCATGCATACACGAGCACACATGTGCCCCTGCAGAGCATGCATCCCTGAGGCACGCCTACCATGGTCCTGAGGTCCACGAAGGAGACAGTGGTGCAGTTAAAGAGCTCCGGGGGCAGCCAGCCCTTCTCCACACTGCAGTGTCGAACGGCATTTCCTACGGAAGGAGAGCAGGTATGCAAAGCCTGAAACTCAAATTGTTGATCCATGCTGGTGTATTTCAATCCTCAACCCGAATGTACTTAAACCCAGAACACTGCGTGGCGATGAGAACCCCATGGGGGCCAGGAGGCATGGTGGTGCCTGCAAAAGCCAGAGGCAGGGCCAGTGACGTCAGACGCTTGGGAGAGGCTCTACGTTGCTGCACGTTTCCTCCGCAACATCCAGACTCCCACCCTCAGGGCACGTGTGTCGGCCCCAGGTGCCTGCACTCCTCATGCCAGGGCCATGGCCGAAGCTGCTTTGACACTGACTACCAGGCATTTGAGGCGCCCGGCAAACAGGAGCCAGCACTCCTGAGCAAGTGTGTGAGGGAAGAAACCAGTGGCCTGGGCGTGGAGGCTCTCGCCTGTAATCCCAGCACTTTGGGAGGTCAAGGTGGGTGGATCACAAGGTCAGGAGCTCGAGACCAGCCTGGCCAATATGGTGAAACCCCGTTTCTACTAAAAATACAAAAATGAGCCAGACGTGGTGGTGTGTGCCTGTAGTATCGGCTACTCAGAAGGCTGAGGCAGGAGACCTGCTGGAACCCAGGAGGTGGAGGTTGCAGTGAGCCAAGACTGCACCACTGCATTTCAGCCTGGGCGACAGAATGAGACTTTGGCTCAAAAAAAAAAAAAAAAAAAAAGAGAGAAATCAGTGACACCATCTGCCGGGCAGCCAGGATCCCACGTGCCAGGAATCCACTGCAGCTGGGCCCTTCCTTGTCCTGCCTCACTGGACTCCCCAGGTGTCCCTCACAGCGCGGACATGGTCACTGTCCCCATTTCACAGAGGACACCTGATGCTATGAACAACGAAGCCATTTGTCCCAGTGCCCCAGGCTGAGCGGCAGAGCAGGCACTGGCCGGGTGTGACTGGCGGGCGTCCCCATACACGCTGTACCGTTCGTGTGTCTGTTACACCCTCTGCCTGCGTTGTGTATTTACGGGCGGGGAAAAGGCGATCCAGTTCCTTCCAGCACTTGGCCTGCATGAGTCCCGACATCTCCAGCGGCCCTCCCACAAGGACGCGTGCCTCAGTTCCCTACCCGTGGACGCCGCCGGCCACAGGGACTCACCGACGGACCCCTTGGGGCATGGCACTGCAGCCGGCTGCCCGAACTTGGTCTGTGGCCACCAGATGCCGGCCTCGAACGCTTTGGGACAGCCGTTGTAGATCACTGGGTTAGACAGGAGAGAAGGCCGCTCAGCGGGGCACGCTGCGCCGACGGCCACCAACGGGCCCTGCTGTCTGCGTGCGCCTCCCCACGGAAGGAGAAGGAGGCCCTGCTCCCACCAAGAACCGAACCCTAGCATCTTCCCCGCCCCCCCATCCACGTCAGAGCTGGAGAGGGGGTGACCAGGCTCTGACCCACGCCCCTCACGCAGAACCAGGTCAAGAGGACGTAGAGCACGAAGGAGCCCAGGATTCCCCAAACACCGAGCGCACGCACACACGTGCACGTCAGCCCGGCAGCCTGTCCCTGCGCTGTGACCTGCGGGCAGTCAAGGGGCAACTCGGACCTTCGCAGCCGAGCGTGGTGACCTCGGCAAATGGGTTGTCGCAGCGGTTGCACTGGCGGCCGATGACACCGGGCTTGCAGGCACACTGCCCAGTGGCCATGTCGCAGGCGCGGCTGTGGGAGCCGTGGGGGAAGCAGTCGCAAGGCAGGCAGGCGTCCTGGGCTGGGGGCTGGTAGTAATTCTCCTGCAAAAGCCAGAAGCAGGGCCGGTGACTTCAGATGCCCAGGAGAGGCCCTACGTCACAGCACGTTTCCTCAGCAACGTCCAGACTCCCACCCTCAGGGCACATGTGGTGGCCCCAGCCGTCTGCACCCCTCATGGCTACCCTCTGCCCACACCCCGCACCCGACGGGGGCTGCCTTGCAGGGAGGCAAGGGAGGCTCTTCCCAGGACAGCGGTTCTCCCAGGAAGCACGACCTCCCTCACTCACGTCTTAGCAAATCCCAAGAGTGGGCACCTCCGTATCTGTCCTAAAAAGACTCCGAGATCCGAAAGGAGGCTTACGCGTGGGGATGGCCCTGGGGTGTTTTTTTTAATGTTGTTTTAAAAAATCAGAGGCCAGGCACCGTGGCTCATGCCTGTAATCCCAGCACTTAGGGAGGCCAAGGCAGGAGGATTAAGAGGTCAAGAGATTAAGACCAGCCTGGCCAACATGGTGAAACCCTGTCGCTACTAAAAATACAAAAATTAGCTGCGTGTGGTGGTGTGTGCCTGTGGTCCCAGCTACTTGGGAGGCTGAGCCAGGAGAACCACTCGGACCCGGGAGTTGCAGTGTGTCAAGATCATGCCACCGCACTCTAGCCTGGTGACAAAGCGATATTTTATCTCAAAAAAAAAAAAAAGAAAGAAAGAAAGAAAAAAAAAATTAGAAGCCACCTGAATGTCTACCATCGAGCAGGCCAGGGTGACCATCGAGAGCTTGTGCTTTGAGTTCAGGAAGTCCTGGGTTCGTGCCTGACCCTTGTTTACCGGCTACACTGCCTGGGTCGGTCACTGGGCCTCCCCAGGCCCAAGTACCACCCCCTCCCCCTGGAAAATGGTGCAGGCTGTGTGACGTGGGCAGACTTGTGAGCAATGTTCAGGCTGTGTGTCAGGTGGGACTCCAGTGAGGTGACAATGACAGTGAGCCCAGGCCCTGAAGAGACGCTAAAACATTCATAACCACAGCTGGGAGGTGAGATGGGCTGACTGCCATCTGTGTGTTCTTTCTCACATTTTGTATAACTTTTTTTTTTTTTTTTTTTTTTTGAGATGGGGTCTCACTCTGTTGCCCAGGCTGGAGTGCAGTAATATAATCATGGCTCACTGGACCCTCAACTTCCAGGGCTCAAGTGATCCTCCCCCCTCAGTCTCCCGAGTAGCAGGGATCACAGGCATGCACCAGCACACCCAGCTAACGCTTTTACTTTTTGTAGAGATGGGGGGGTCTATGTGGCCTAGGTTGGTCTTGAACTCCTGGGCTCAAGTGATCCTCCTGCCTCGGCCTCCAGAGCAGCTGAGATTACAGGCATGAGCCGCCACACCCTGCCTATAACTTTGGAGAAAAAAATCATAGGCAAGTTTTCACCAATGCACTCCTCAAGTTCCCTCTGCTCCGACACCCACTGTGCTACCACCACCACCTGGTGACATGCTAGATTGCCTCGACCCAGGACAGCTGTTTCATTGAGTCTTTCAGGACATCAGTCTCACGCTGTTGGAAGCAATGAGGGCACTCGGGACACGACTGACATCACGGGAGAGCATCCAAGGGTGTCCCAGTGCCAGCTTCCCTCCCAGAGCCGGCCGCGTCTGCAGAAAGCTCATGTCCCCCGCCCAGGCTCCTGTCACCCTCGGACCTAATGTTTGGGTTTCAAGTGACTGTGAGCTCCACGGCTCACAGTCATGAAGGTCCTGAAGGTGGTGACGGGAGGGGTCCCTAGCGTCTGCGCTGAGAACATGTGTGCACATCTGGAGACCATGAGATGTGAGCTCCGTGCTGCACGCAGGTTAGGACTGACGGCCCTGGACGGGGGCGGGGCACCGCTTACCAACCCACTTAGCCATGCTTTCTATTTCTTTTTTATTTATTTGTTTTTTTTGGAGACGGAGTTTCGCTCTTGTTACCCAGGCTGGAGTGCAATGGCGCGATCTCGGCTCACCGCAACCTCCGCCTCCTGGGTTCAGGCAATTCTCCTGCCTCAGCCTCCCGAGTAGCTGGGATTACAGGCACGCGCCACCATGCCCAGCTAATTTTTTGTATTTTTAGTAGACACGGGGTTTCACCATGTTGACCAGGATGGTCTCGATCTCTTGACCTCGTGATCCACCCGCCTCGGCCTCCCAAAGTGCTGGGATTACAGACTTGAGCCACAGCGCCCGGCCTCATGCTTTTTATTTCAAACCTGCTATCGTCATGGGATGCTAGCTTGGTGAAGACCAGGAAAATGGCCAGGCACAGTGGCTCACACCTGTAATCCCAGCACTTTGGGAAGCTGAGGCGGGTGGAGGGTTTGAGACCAGCCTGGCCAACATGGTGAAATCCTGTCTCTACTAAAAATACAAAAATCAGCTGGGCATGGTGGAGGGTGCCTGTAATCCCAGCTACTCGGGAAGCTGAGGCAGAAGAATCGCTGGAACCCTGGAGGCAGAGGCTGTAGTGAGCTGAGATTGTGCCACTGCACTCCAGCCTGGGTGACAGAGTGAGACTCCATCGAAAAAAAAGGCCAGGAAAACAGCCAACCAGGAGGCCAGGAGGGCTGGGGTGGGGCCAGAGACGGGCCAGCCCTCAGAAACGGCTGGGCTTCCCACAGCCATGGACGCTGAGCCGGGAGCAGGTAGGGATTCCTGTTCCACGGGTGGAGGCTGGCAGGGTTGAACCCGGAGTTTACATGCAGAAAGCAGCCGTGGAGTATTCACAGGGCACGGGGAGCAGCAAGGAAACCAAAAACCACATCTGTACCTAACGGTGGTGTGAGTGGGCACAGGTGTGTGTGGAGTTGTGTTTCCAGGCGTGAGTGTCTGCAGGTGTGTGTCTACAAGCGTGTGAGTGTCTGCAGGTGAGTGTTCACAGGCGTGCATTTGCAGGTGTGTGAGTGTTCGCAGGCATGTGTGTATAGTGGCCTCAGTGCATGTGTGTGAGCACACACAGCCATCTCCTGGCCTCAGGGCCGGGGGTGGGCATGCAAGGACAGTGGGGACTGGGCCTCACCTTGCAGTGGCACTGGCCATCGGTCTTATTACAGTCGGGATCGAAGCCTTTGCTGACTGCACAGTGGCAGGGTCCACAGACAGGGTTCCCCCACCAGCCTCTGGGGCACGGAAGGTCGAGTCTGTCACGAAAATGAGAGGGCAGATGGAAGGTTTATGTAACTGTGCTTTGCAGAACAAGAAGAGGGCCCCTGGTGGCACCGAGATGGTTGCCCAGGAAGCTTGGCTAAGCCCAGCTCTGGGAGCTTCCCTTCCACGTTACGTGGCCTCAGTTTCCCCTCTGCTGGCTCCCAACCTCACCCCCACCCACAGATTGACCATGCCCAAAGCAACCGTGACAGCGTGTGTTCACTGTGCCACGTCCACGCCATGCCTGGCTCAATGGGGCCTAATGACATTGGACCCCACTGCAAGGCTGGCCTTTCACGTCACAGCCCCACACAGGCAGACTGAGCTCAGCTGCCTGGCACCACTTCTCCAAGGCCACGTGGGGTGAGTGGCAGCACGAGACGCCCTGCGGGAAGTTCCTGAACAGGGAGTTCTGCAGCTTCTGTTGTCCACCAGGTCCCCTGGCCACGAGCCCTAAGGACACTGAGGGCAGCCATGCCCTGGTGTAGCATGCCCCGTAGGTCAGTGGCACATGTCCACGCACTCAGAATCCAGTGGAAGCCAGTCCTGCTTCCCTGAGCCTCCTCCGGCAGGGAACAGCAGATGCTGAAGATGAGCGACACTGTGGGGCGAGGCCAGGCCTCCAAGGCGCTGGGGGGCGGCTGCGCACGAGTCGCCCTACCTGTTCCTGTCGTGGGCGGCACCTGCGTAGTCACCTGCAGCCCCGCCTGCCTGCGACATCCCCACAGGAGTGTCCTGTGGGCTCTTGCATTCCCCATCCTGGCTAACAGAGGTCCCTCCACCCAGCTGCCAGGCTCTCGAGTTCACTCACTTGGCGAGCAATTATTAAGGACTGTGAACAAATCAGGGTCATAAAGACACCCAGGCAGAGACAGAGGCTGGTGTTTATAGATGTGTGTGTGGTGTGGGGGTCCCAGAGCCTTCGTCTCCCTGCAGCTCTGGTGCCTGTGGCGCCAGGCATGGGGACGCTGGGTCAGCCTCCTGGTAACACCCCCTGCTCCGAGCTGTGTTCCACGTGGCAGCTGGGGGTTCCCCAAAACCAGACCTGGTCCTGTCACTTTTGTGCTGGGCCCCCACAGCGTCCATACAGCCGAGCTCTGTTCCTGGCTTGCGGGCCCACCCCCATCCTCTCTGCCTCCCCGGATGACCCCCGGGTTCCTTAGACCAGCCTCAGCCCCTTGCTCCTCTCCAGCTCGGCTCGGTCGCTTTCGCTCTCAGAACGCCCTCCCGCGTCAGCTCCCTGGCTCCCGCCTCCCTCTCCTCTCCCAGGGCACCTCCTCCAAGCCCTCTCTTGTATCACATCTGGCTGACATCCCAGTGTGGTACGGTGCCATCTTCTCAAGAGGTCATAAAGCCCTAGGCCGCCGGCGGGATCACAGCATCTGCTCTAGGCTCAGGCAGACAAGGAACAGACAGTAGAGGGTATCCCTGCACCCGACGCCCACCAGCAGCTGAGGCCTATGAGCCGTGGGGGCGTCCCCTCCATGGGGACCTGGCACGTTGGTTTATGAAGAACCAAGCAGCTCCACCTTGGACAAACTGATGCTGGTGATGAATACACACCTGTGCCCAGCCATCCCTGTGCCAAGGGCACTCCGGGAGCCCAGAGAGCATACTGCTGCCAGGCCTAACAGCAGCAGGATCTCCACACACAAGTCAGACACAACTTCCACCCCACCAACTCGAAAAGGTGTTCTGTATAATCACACGCATCTTCCTGCACCTCAGGGGGCCTGTTTGCTCTGGGCACAGGACTCCAGATGAATGAGTCGTGTTACATGTTGCTGGGGTAGACACGTGATCCAACGGGGTTAGTCTGAGATGTCCAAATTGATTCTTATTGCCCAAGCACGGTGGCTCACGCCCGTAATCCCAGCACCTTGGGAGGCTGAGGCGGGTGGATCACTTGAGGTTAGGAGTTCGAGACCAGCCTGGCCAACATGGTGAAACCCATCTCTACTAAAAATACAAAAATTAGCTGGGCGTGGTGGTGCACGCCTGTAATCCCAGCTGCTCGGGAAGCTGAGGCAGGAGAGTTGCTTGAGCCCAGGAGGCGGAGGTTGCAGTGAGCCGAGACTGCCCCACTGCACTCCAGCCGGGGTGACAGAGCAAGACTCTGCCTCAGAAAAAAATATGTCCCTGTTATCCAGAATTACACATATCTTTGGGTCAAAATAAGAAAGAGAAGACACCGACTCAAGAGCGAGGACGGCCGGGTGGACTGCAGGCATGGGGGCCCCGGGGCTGTGCTTACCTGCTCTCGCAGTACGGCCCGTAGTGGCTGGGCCCACACTCGCACACGTAGCCCCGCGGGGAGCCGGGGGAGCGCACGCAGGCCGCCATGTTCTCACAGGGGTTCAGGTGACAGGCGTCCACACAGTCTCTCCCTAGGTACCCTGCAAGGACAGAGCCAGCATTATCTCCACCCAGGATCCACGAGACCTTCTGACGTTAAAATATCTGGAGCAACCTGTCCCCCTGCACTCAGCACAGGGAGAGGACGGGCGATGCAGGGTCCCAGAGAACACAGACTGGGTGGGTTAGACTTGGCGACGCAGAGAGGAAGGCATTTGGGGCCACCCCGAGGAGGGCGAGAACCCTGGGACATGGGCCGAGGCCGCCCCAGGACACAAGAGGAACGGCCATCAGCAGAGGGCGACTTCAGCACCTCAAAATTCAGAGGCTACCCTGAACGTAGAAATTTTTTTTTTTTTTTTTTTTTTTTTGAGATGGAGTCTCTCTCTGTCACCCAGACTGGAGTGCAGTGGTGTGATCTCAGCTCACTGCAACCTCCACCTCCCACGTTAAAACAGTTCTCCTGCCTCAGCCTCCCGAGTAGCTGGGATCACAGGGTCACACGATGCCTGGCTAATTTTTTTTTTTTTTTAAATTTTTAGTAGAGATGGGCTTTCTCGATGTTAGCCAGGCTGGTCTCAAACTCCTACATCAGGCAATCCGCCCTCCTTAGCCCAAAGTGCTGGGATTACAGGCGTGAGCCACCGTGCCCAGGCAGGATTTTTTTTTAAATGTGTACTTTCACTAGGCTTTTTTTTTTTTTTTTTTTTTTTTGAGACAGAGTCTTGCTCTGTTGCCCAGGCTGAGGTGCAGTGGCGTGATCTCAGCTGACTGCGACTTTGCTTCCCAGGCTCAAGTGATCTTCCCACCTCAGCCTCCCATGTAGCTGGGACCACAGGTGCACGCCACCATGCCTGGACAATTTTTGTATTTTTTCGGTAGAGACCGGGTTTCACCATGTCGCCTGGCTGGTCTTGAACTTCTGGCCTCAAGTGATCTGCCCACCTCTGACTCCCAAAATGCTAGGATTACAGGTCACTGTGCCTGGCCTTACTTTTCACTCTTCCTTTGCTGATCACCTCATGTGCTGGGTAGAGGGTCTAGACCACTCCCTGTACCTCGAGTAGGGAAGAGGCTGAGTCTCTCTCCAGGAGGGGCCCAGTCGTCATAAAATAAAGCTCAGCCCTCCGCGGAACCACAGGGAATCGGCTGGCGACACCAATGTCCAAACTGAGCCCCCGTCCTGTGTTTCAGCCACGAGAGGCGTCCCTGTCACTGAGGGCCTCGGGAGGGCGGTCCCACCTTTGTCACAGACGCAGCTGTAGTCCTCCCAGGCATTGTGGCAGCGGCTGTGGGCGGGACAGGGGCTCGAGGTACAAGGGTCCTCCACATCACAGCCGTCCTTCACCCTGACCTTGAGGGCGTTGTTCATGTTCAGGGTGGCCACATTGGTGGGCGTCCCCCCCATCCTCACTCCCTGCATCAAGGAAATGGCATTGGGACCTTTCTGAGAAGCCCAGAAAGGTAAGGAGGGGCTGAGAACTCCGAGGTCTCTTTGGTCCCTTGCAAGGCATTCATTTGTGACGCCTCATTTATTTACAGAGCTGGGACACGCAGGGTTGTTCCTTTCATGCCCATGGCCTGGTAGCCGGAGCGCAGTGCAGAGCTGGGCGAGGAGCTCAGAGGGCACGCTGGCCAGATCTCCTGCGGTACGCGGAAGGGGCATGAGGAGTGGATGTCCCTGCCGAGGGGGCTGAGAGCTGAGTGACTCCCAGAGCAGCTCCCCCAGCTGTAGCTGGAGCACCTGGCTCCACGGGATAGGCCCGGGGGCCACTTGGGTGCCGTGTGGAGTTGAACTGGGTGGGGGTGGTGGCGAGGGGCTCGATTTAGGACACTACGTGAAGGCAGAGGGGCAGGTGGCTAACATGGCATAGCGGTGAGGAGCTGTGGGGGCCAGGGACACCCCGATGCCAAGGGGAACCACAGGGGGATGGGTCTAAAGAGGAAGCAGGAGCCGTTAAAGTGGGGGTGCCAATCAGACACATTCTCCGCTCACTGAAAGCTGACGGGTTGACCGAGGGCACCAACGGAAGCGCTGGCAGCCTCCGAGCCACCTGTGAGAGGCGGAACCCCCCCCACCCTGCCCCCACGTACCTGCATGCAGCCTCGGAACCCACGGCGCACAGAGACCTTGTCTTCAGAGGCGCCCCCGACCACCATGTTCCTTATCGTCAGCCCGGGAAGCATGCCCCCGATATCCGCCCTGCTCTGTGTGGAGAGAGGGGGCACAGCTCTGGGGGCTGCGTCCACCATCCTAGAAACATCTTCCAGCTGGGAACACACTCGAAAAGCCTCAAACAGTGGCTTCAACAAACTCCCCAGAGCCTGAGGACATCCGGGCCTCCGAAGAGAGAGCTGGGCGCAGCTGGACAGCATGGCTGACTGTGATGACCAGGACGAGGGGACCAGGCCAGAGGATGGTGCCCAGGTCCCGGCCCAGCGGAGGCGGCCGGCGGGGGAAAGTGTGTAACTCTCCTGCCTCCGTCAAGGGCCACAACCCTAAACCAGCCACGCTGTGACAGAGAACTTGGAGCATCAGGAAGACTGTGTGGACGGTAATCCGTTCACCCGTGAATACTGGGGGTACCCAAGAGTGTCTCGGCTGAGCTCTTGTCCCAGAAAGGCAGGTGCCTGGAACACACCTATTTATTCCCAGGTCTGTGTTGTAAGGGCAGCCTTGGCTCCAAGAGCTCTTGGAGATCCCAGGGAGCCGCTTAGGTGTGTGAGCATCTCGCAGACAACATCCTGGGTTACCCCCCGCTGAGGACTGTGGAAACCCAGTCTGGTTCCATAAGTATTCTGAACATTGCCTAGGACCACGCCACCTGCCTGCCTGGGACAGGTGAGGACCCCTGGTGCCTCCCAGCTGTGTCCAGCACCTGAGCCTCATTCCTCTCCCAGCTTCGCTCCCCATCCATACTCTGAGGGCATGGACCCTGGCATTTTTTTTTTTTAAGACGGAATCCCGTTTGGTCACCCAGGCTGGAGTGCAGTGGTGCAATCTCGGCTCACTGCAACCTCCGCCTTCCAGTTCAAGTGATTGTCCTGCCTCAGCCTCCCGAGTAGCTGGGACTACAGGCATGTGCCACCATGCCCGGCTAATTTTTGAATTTGTAATAGAAATGGGGTTTCACCACGTTGGCCAGGCTGATCTCGAACTCCTGACCTCATGATCCACCCGCCTCGGCCTCCCGGGCCCTGGCATGTCCACCTCAGTACCCTAAAAGACACAGTGCTGAGGCTGCAGGTGTTGCTCAAGATGGTGTTGCTGAAAGAAACCACTGCCGAGGGCGCCAACGGCACTGTGATGAGAAAGGCGGCTGGAGGAAGCTGCCCGCAGGAGGGCAGCATCTGGGTGAAGGAGGAGGTGAAGATGCCAGCGGTCTCAGCACAGGCAGAACAGAAGCCCACTGAGGGTCCCAGAAAGTGCCTCCCCAAATCCACAAGATCTCTGGCGGGTCCTGGCACATTAAGGGGTCATTCTGTTTTTCCCTGGGCCAGAGGAAGGGTCTGTCCCCAAAGGAGGGCAGGTGCCAGCTCACCTGGTCCATCCCATAGTCCAAGGTCATGGTCACCAGGTGCTTCATTTCACTGTCCTCCTTCACGTTCTTGAGCTCGATCAGCAGGTGGTGCCACTCCCCGTCGGTCACCCGCAACCCGGACAGCACCATGGACTCCACTCCAGAGGGCCCGTGGGACACCTCGAACTGGAGGTGGCTGTTGAGGATCTGGAGCAGGGAGAGCCGCACCAACCGATTGGTACAATAGCAACGGAAGAGACGACGCTGTGACAGTCGACTTGTGAGGTGGCACCGTATCAAAGATGGACTTAAAAATTAGGCAAAGCTGGCCGGGTGCGGTAGCTCAGGCCTGTAGTCCTAGCACTTGGGAGGCCGAGGCGGGTGGATCACCTGAGGTCAGGAGTTTGTGACCAGCTTGGCCAACACAGTGAAACCCCAACTTTACTAAAAATACAAATATCAGCCAGGCGTGATGGTGGGCACCTCAGAGGCTTGAACCCGGGAGGTGGTGGAGGTTGCAGTGACGTGAAATCGCACCACTACACTCCAGCCTGGTGACAGAACAAGATTCAGTCTCAAAAATAAATAAATAAATAAATAAATAAATAAGGCAAAGTTGGCTGGGTGTGGTGGCTCAGGCCTGTCATCCTAGCACATTAGGAGGCCGAGGCAGGTGGAGTTCGACACCAGCCTGGCCGACATGGTGAAACCCTGTCTCTACTAAAAATACAAAAATTAGCCGACATGGTGGTGGGTGCCTATAATCCCAGCTACTTGGAAGGATAAGGCAGGAGGATCGCTTGAACCCGGGAGGCAGAGGTTGTAGTGAGCCGAGATTCCACCACTACACTCCAGCCTGGGCAATAAGAGCAAGACTCTCTTGTCTCAAAAAACAAAAATAAATGCTTAGGCAAGTTGGCCAGACGTAGTGGCTCACACCTGTAATCTCAGCACTTTGGGAAGCCAAGGCAGGCAATACGTACGCTTGAGGCCAGGAGTTCAAGACCAGCCTGGCAAACATGGCAAAACCTTGTGTCTACTAAAAACACAAAAATTAGCTGGGGACGGTGGTATGTGCTTGCAGTCCCAGCTACTTGGGAGGCTGAGGCAGGAGGATCACTCAAGCCGAGGCGGCGGAAGTTGCAGTGAGCTGAGATCACGCCACTGCATTCCAGCTTGGGTGACAGAGCGAGACTTTGTCTCAAAAAAAAAACAGCAGGCAAAGTTGTTCTTTGTTGCTGCTGCCGTTCACACTGGTCAGAACTGCATGTCTCATTCTATGGGGAAAAGCATCAATCCCTGCATGGAGGTCAAGTAAGGCAAGGGCTGAGAACAAGACCCGTTAGGCTTTTAGATACTGGGAACCAGCTCGATTCAGGTGACTATTTGACTCTTATATTTGGATGTAAATGTTAAACTGTATAAGACAAGACTTAATCCTTGTTTAATTACCTGCATGACAAAACAAAACCCAGCATTGCAAATGGCCTAGGATGCTGGTAATTTAAAATAAGGCAGCCAAGGGCAACGCCAACATCTTAGTTCCCTTAAGGAAGGACTTGGCAATTTCAACCCAACTCTCCCTTGAAAGCACCTACAAAAATGAGACAGAATATTAAAGAACATCTGTTTGAAGGCACTGGAGTAGCGCAAGGCAAAACAGAGTTTCAGCGTCATGACCAAGGATAAGACAGAATCTGCGAAAGAGAGGGTGGTGTTTGTTTCCTTACGCGGCTGTCAGCCGGTTCCAGAAGACGGCGGAGGCTGAGCGTGCAGTCAGGTCATGGCTGCCAGGTACCTGAAGCCCTTGCCCTCCTCGGCACTCTTCAGCCCTCCTGGCAGGTGGTGCCATGCCCCATTCATCACCCTTGACCTGGAGAGTCTCAGGATGCCTCAAAGCTTTCTTGATTCATGGGGCTGGACCAGGCACGGTGGCTCATGCCTGTAATCCGAACACTTTGGGAGACTGAATTGGGCAGATCACGAGGTCAAGAGATCGAGATCAGCCTGACCAACACGGTGAAACCCTGTCTCTACTAAAAATATAAAAATTAGCTGGGCGTGGTGGCAGGCACTCGTAGTCCCAAGCTACTCGGGAGGCTGAGGCAGGAGAATCACTTGAACCTGGGAGGTGGAGGCTGCAGTGAGCCAAGATCAGGCCACTACACTCTAGCCTGGTGACAGAGCGAGAGTCAGTTTAAAAAAAAAGAAAAAACCAGCCGGGGTTCATGGACTGCAAGGGGTTGTTCCTTGGCTTTTGGTTGGGACCCTGAGGGGTTTACACTAATAGTAAAAACGAAAAAGATCCACCCTGTAGGACTGGAAGCCCAGCTTTGAAACACCACAGCCTGTGACTGCGTTGAAGTCTGTGGCTACATTAAAGTGCTCCGGGTATGGCAACTGCTCCTACCTAGTGGCTGCCAGCAGATAGTGGCTGCCACAGAAGATAATGACGTCCCCATTCCAGTCTTTCTTTCTTTTTTTTTTTTTTTTTTTGAGACAGAGTTTTGCTCTTGTTGCCCAGGCTAGAGTGCAGTGGCACAATCTCAGCTCACTGTAAACTCTGCCTCCCGGGTTCAAGTGATTCTCCTGCCTCAGCCTCCCAAGTAGCTGGGATTACAAGCACACACCACGCCTGCCTGGCTAATTTTTTGTATTTTTAGTAGAGATGGGGTTTCTCCACGTTGGCCAGGCCTCGAACTCCAGACCTTGGGTGATCTACCCGCCCGTGGCCTTCCAAAGTGCTAGGATTACAGGCATGAGTCACCATACCTGGCCCTCATTCTAGTTTCAAATGTTCTCTAATTTTTCAGTACAATGTCTAGCACTCAATAAAAAATAGCCAAGGATATGAGGATACAAGGTACTAAGCTTGAAAACCAACAGAAGCAAGGAAGAGTGGCAACAGAACATAGAATCATCAGACACAGACTGAAAAAGTAACACTGGGAACCACAAAACTTTCAAGGAAACAGACTCCATGTGACCATTAAACTTACTTCTGGGTGTAGGTGTTACAGAGGTAAGGGTCAAACTGTCATGTTTAAATACATGTAAGAAGAATCAGAAAACTGTAACTAACCCAAGATGCTCATATTTAAAGATAACTTCCATTGAAAAGTAGCCTAGATTTCAGAAAAACAATTATGAGCACACTGCTTATATTACGCCTGAAATATAAGGATACAGAAAATGCTGAAAGTAAAAGGATAGAAAAAAAATACATCATATAAATACCAAACAGAAGAAAACTGGTATAGTATGTTAACATGAGACAAAGTAGACTTAAGGAAAAAATCCTTATTAGAGATAAAGAGGAATTTCATAATGATAAGGCAATTTGCTGGGAAGATAAATCAACTCTAAATTTGTATGCACCTAATAACCTGGCCTCAAAATCTATAAAGCAAAAACCAAGATTACCAAGAGAAGTAACTGATAAATCTGCAGTCAACATAGGAGATTTTTTTTTTTTTTTTGAGGCGGAGTTTTGCTCTTGTTACCCAGGCTGGAGTGCAATGGCGCGACCTCGGCTCACCGCGGCCTCCGCCTCCTGGGTTCAGGCAATTCTCCTGCCTCAGCCTCCTGAGTAGCTGGGATTACAGGCACGCGCCGCCATGCCCAGCTAATTTTTAGTATTTTTAGTAGAGACGGGGTTTCACCATGTTGACCAGGACGGTCTCGATCTCTTGACCTCGTGATCCACCCGCCTCGGCCTCCCAAAGTGCTGGGATTACAGGCTTGAGCCACCGCACCCGGCCCATAACATAGGAGATTTTTAACTTACTTCTCTCAGTGAGAAGACACACAAAAAATCACTTAAAATCAATAATGACATAGAATATTTGAATACCACAGTTAACAAACTTCACCTACTTGCCATATAGAGAACACTATGGATAACAACTGCAGAGCACACAGAGGCACGTGTGCATGTGTCCAAAACTGACTAGAAGCCAGGCACAGTGGCTCACGACTCTAACCCCAGCACTTGGAGAGGTGAAAGACAACGGATCACCTGAGGTCAGGAGTTCAAGATCAGCCTGTCCGACACAGTGAAACCCCGTGTCTACTAAAAATACAAACGTTAGCTGGACGTGGTGATGTGTGCCTGTAATCCCAGCTACTCAGGAGGCTGAGGCGGAAGAATCACTAGAACCCAGGAGGTGGAGGCTACAATGAGCTGAGATTGCATCACTGCACTCCAGCCTGAGTGATAGAGTGCGATTCCATCTCACAAAAAAAGAAAGAAAAAAACCCTGACTAGATCTGGGCTGTAAAGCAAGTCTCAACACATTTCAAAGCTCTGAAACCACATGGTATATGTTCTTTGACCTGCAATTATGCTATAAACACTACCAAAATGACTTACTAGAAAATGCTACATGAGGCTGGGCGCGGAGGCTCACGCCTGAATCCCAGCACTTTGGGAGATGGAGGCGGGCCAATCACCTGAGGTCAGGAGTTGGAGACCAGCCTGGCCAACATGGAAAAACCTCATCTCTATCAAAATTATAAAAAGTAGTTGGGTGTGGTGGCACACACCTGTAATCCCAGCTACCTGGGAGGCTTAGGTAGGAGAATCTCTTGAACCTGTGAGTCAGAGGTTGCAGTGAGCCAAGATCACACCACTGCCCTTCAGCCTGAGAGACAAAGAAAGGTTTCCTCTCAGGAAAAAAAAAAAAAAAAAAGAAAAAGAAAAAAAGGAAAAGGAAAGGAAATGCTACATACCTAACTTAGAAATCTACTTCTAAATGCCACATCAGTCTAAGATAAATTCATAACAGAAAACAGGACACAGGTTTTAACTGGTTATAAAGGTTATGTAACTAAAACTGTTTTTTGATCTCTATTGATAGTTTGAGGGTTTTGTTTTTGAGCTGGAAAAAAAAAACCCAGTAATTAGCCAGACACCCTAATTTTTGTATTTGAAGTAGCAATGAGGGTTCTCCATGATGGCCAGGCTGGTCTTGAACTCCCGACCTCAGGTGATCCACCTGCCTTTGCCTCCCAAAGTGGTAGGATTACATGCATGAGCCACTGTACTCAGCCCGATAGTTATTTTAAGATAATTTTTCTCCTTTTTCCATTTTGTTTTCTTTCTTCTGTTTTGAGACAGCGTTTCGCTCTTGCCGCCCAAGGTGGAGTACAGTGGTATGACCTCGGCTCACTGCAACCTCTGCCTCCCGGTTGCAAGCGATTCTCCTGCCTCAGCCTCCTGACTAGCTGGGATTACAGGTGTGCACCACTACACCCGGCTAACTTTCGTATTTTTAGTAGAGACGGGGTTTCACCGTGGCGGCCAGGCTGGTCTCGAACTCCTGACCTCAGGTGATCTGCCCACCTCGGCCTCCCAAAGTGCTGGGATTACAGGTGTGAGCCACAGTGCCTGGCCTCCATTTTGCTTTCTTTTGTTCTACAGAAGTTAGCTTATTAATTTCCTCTGTCATTCTCTTTCACTGTCCTTGCTTTAAAAACTCCAAAGTGAGCAGATCAGCAATAAAAGTGACATTAGGTCTACAAACAAAGGTGGCATCCACAGAACGAAGCCCCGTTTTATGGGTGGTAGCTGCCTCCAACTTAGGAGTGTCCCTGGATCTCAGTCAGAGAGACATTCAGCAATCGCATGGCTATCCCACCTGACAAGGTGGGTGGATTTTGGGTGCCTGAGGGCAATTACCCAAATTGCTTGGGCTTTAGTGACAATGGAGCCTCCTTTGTCCCCCCGCAGTGGCAGGGGCTCGGGGGACATCCTTTCAGGAACACCCAAACTGCTGCCTGACAGAGCTCACAGGCCTGTGGGAGGCTGCAAGCTGGTGATGCAAAGGAGGAATCCCCCAGAGCCTCGTGTAACTCATGGCTGACTTGCCTCTGGGAGCTGCCCTGGGGGCCTTCTGGGTGTCCACTGGGGTCTGTAGCATACGCTCAAGGCCACCACTCCTGCCACCCAGACTTCCACCGGGAGGGCTGGCTGTAGTCCCTGGCAAAATTCCTAATTTTTAGATGAGCTCTCCATGATGTAATTACACAAACAGCTCAGGAGTGGGCGGCTTCCAGTGCCGTTCCTACGGAAAGCACACTTTTTTCCTACAGAGACCCCACTGACAACTGACAATGTGCAAGCCCCAATTCGTCACCTGTATCCAAACAGCCGATTTAATCTGTTCTGACAGTGAAACCGCCACACAGAAAATACCATCCCCGGGCAGCCACGCGCTTGCCAAGCTTTGGGCCGGTGCGAGCTTCTGGGGCTGCCCGGGAGACGCATGAAATGACAAGTTTACCGAGGGCCTACAGGCCAGCTGTCATCATCCCTGAGGCACACCACACCTTCCAGGCAGTCCGAGCGGTCTGTGCCGGTACATGTTCCCGAGCCGTGACCGGGGAGGAGCAGGAGGCTCCCTGTGGAGGCCTGAGCCCTGCACCAGCCCCAGGCTGTCTCCTGAACCCTCACTGACTGCCGAGGGACCGACCTCTACCAGCTGCTGGGAGCGCTCCCGGTCCTGCCCCTGCCACGCGCCAACCAGGCACCCACAGCAGGGAGGGCGTGTACTGGCAGCCCCTCTGTCCTCTCGCCAACCCTCATGTCAATTCCGGCTACACAGAACTGTTTCTAGATGGGCTGTCCACAGGAGTGACAGAGAGGGGCCTGTGGCCACCCCAGGAACCTGGCAGTGAATGAACCATGGGGCCCACAGTGAAGAGCCTCTATGCCTCAGTTTCCCCTGTGTGGAACGAGAGCTCGGAGGAGGCACTCCATAAAATCCATCTCTCCTCTGACCACCTCTGACTCCGGCCCAGCCTCCCCTGACAGGGGACGGCGTTCAGGACAAGCTGGGCAGCATAAGAAAGCCCGGAGCCCAAGGGATCAAATGCAACAGGGTGTGGTTCTGCATGGCACGCGGCTGACAGCAGAGGACACACAGCTGGCCCGGACCCCGCTCTGGGAGGGACGTCCCAACCACAGGAGCTTGCAGGGGGGTCATTCCGGGAGCACAAGGTGAGTGTTCCCGTATGGCCCACCCAAGGCAGGAGAGGAGGCTGACCTAAGGGCAGCATCTGTGTGTGTGATGCAGGGAGGGCGGGACGGAGTCCCAGGCACACTCTGGTTGGAGACAATGAACAGCCAAAAGGAAGTCAGTGCCCAGGTCTCATCACATGCATGCACGTGCATATATACACAGCCACGTGTATACATATATAGCCACATAAACAGGCAGACATACACAGCCACATGCATACACAGCCACATGCATACACATACAGCCACATGCATACACAGCCACCTACATATAGTCACATGCATACATACACAGCCACGTGCATACACAGCCACCTGCATATAGTCACGTGCATACATACACAGCCACACGCAGACATATACAGCCATGTGCATACACAGCCACCTGCATACATATAGTCACCTGCATATAGTCATGTGCATATGCAGTCATGTACATGCATGCATACACAGCCACATGCAGACATACACAGCCACCTGCAGACATACACAGCCACATGCATACACAGTCACCTGCATACATACACAGCCACCTGGATACATATACAGTCACATGCAGACATACACAGCCACATGCATACACAGCCACATGCAGACATACACAGCCATATGCAGACATACACAGCCACATGTGTACACAGCCAGACAGACACACACAGCCACCTGCAGACATACACAGCCACCTGCATACATATACAGCCACCTGCATACATATACAGCCGCATACGCATGCAGACATACACAGTCATATGCATACACGGCCACATGCAGACATATACAGCCACATGCACACAGACATGCACAAATGTGCACGCATGTAGAGAGACGCACATATGTACATACACTGACAGGTACACACACTTGCACAAAGATGTGTGGGTGCATGCACACACGTATCAGACTTGGAAAGAAGTCTAGTAGTTACACCTGTAATCTCAGCACTTTGGGAGGCTGAGGCAGGTGGATCACCTGAGGTCAGGGGTTCGAGATCAGCCCGGCCAAAATGGCAAAACCATGTCTCTACTAAAAATACAAATAAATAGCTGGGTGTGGTGGCAAGCACCTGTAATCCCAGCTACTCTGGAGGCTGAGACAGGAGAATCGCTTGAACCCGGGAGGCGGCGGTTGCAGTGAGTTGAGGTTGTGCCACTGCACTCCAGCCTGGGCAACAACAGCAAAACTCTATCTAAAAAAAAAAAAAGCCTAGGAGGAAGGAAGGAATCACCCCATTACGGAATCTGGGAATCTGTCAAATCAAGACGGGGCACGCTGCTCTGGCATGACTCCACAGGCCGCTCCTGTGCCAAGGGAGGTGAATTTGGTCTAGGGAGAGACATAAAAGGATAAAGGCAGCTTTTTAGGAGGGGAACTGCCCAGTGAGTTTTCAGAGCTAGCACCTGATCAGAAAGGGTCACAGCACCACGGTTTACAGGAGAACGTCTGTGCCCCGCCATCACTACTACAGACGAGAATGACCTGGAGATTCCCAGGCAGCGAGGCAAGAGGGCAAGCCAAGGGCCGGGTGGCCTCCCGGGAAGGTCCCCGTGGCTGCCTCGTACGGCAGAGTCTCCAGCGTGTGGCCGAAGGGCAGCCTGATGAGAGAAGACAGGGCTCGCGACTGTTTCTCAAACCAAGTGTCTATGGAGCCTGGAAGGCGTGCGCAGAAACCGTGTGTACCGCAAGAAACTAGAGGAGAGAGCACATTCAGATCACTTTCTACAAGTTGTTCGCAACATTTACCCAACAAACTTCTGTTTCAAATAAAGGAGAAAGTAAAGACCAACAAGACAGAGAAAACATGCAGGCGGCTGCACGGAGCCAGGCTCCCGGAGACAGCTGACGGCACATGGCTGCAACCAGCGCCCGGCCCCAGCATTTTTTTTTTTTTTTTTTTTCCGTTTTTGGAGACGGTCTCGGTCTTGTTGCCCAGGCTAGACTGCAATGGCACGTTCTCAGCTCACTGCAACCTCCACTTCCCTAGTTCAATCGATTCTCCTGCCTCAGCCTCCTTCGTAACTGGGATGACAGGCGTGAGCCACCACGCCCAGCTATTTTTTTTGTATTTTTAGTAGAGATGGGGTTTCTCCAGGCTGGAACTCCTGACCTCAGGTGATCCACTCACCTCAGCCTCCCAAAATGCCGGGATTACAGGTGTGAGCCACCACGTCTGGCCTGCACCTGGCCACAGCGTTCACTGGTGGGGCCCGCTGTTTCTGCCCAAAGGCTCAGCAGCCCCCTCAGCTCTGCAATGCCCACGCTCCAGCCAAACCCTCAGGCTAGAGGGAGACCGGAGCTGCCGTCTACGCCGCACCTCGGCTGAGCTGTCTCACTCCGTCTCCACCTCCCAGAGCAAAGAAAAGGCTCACGCTCCCCCGCATCCTCTTCCAAGAACCCAAAGAGGGGTGGGCACAGGAGGAAGGGCGAGTAGCAGGGGCCTGAGTGTGCACCAGGAAGTCCAGCACCCTTGGACTCCCACCTAGCAGATGCCCTGGTGGCAAGGGGTCCCAGTCACCTGGAGACGAAAGCTGGTGGACCCGCCGCTGGTGGCTTCCATCAGAACGCTGTCCTCCTTCCGGGTCCGGAACATGAGCCCCAGGTACCAGGGCACGGAGATGATGACATTCAGGTCGCTCCAGGACACGACACTCTCCCCACTGAAGAGCTGGGGGTGGGGCATGGCTGCGGACACAGGCTCAGGACCTTAGGTGTGGCCGGAAATCACTTGGGCCACACACTCTTGGCTGCAGGGACGGGGGATGGGCCTGCAGGCTGGGCCTGGGCCTTTTTCATTTAACACCAGGGCCAGTCTGAGCCTCCCCTCTCTATGGCACATCCTGCCCTCACAGTCAGCCACGGGGGCTCCACAGAGGCCCACCCTGGGACGGGAGCCTCCTTCCCAGGAAGTGTGAAGACCTTCAGGCTCCCAGCCACTGGTGGGCGTGGCAAGGGGCTCTCAGGCTGGATGGGAGGCAGAGGTGGGGCGGGTTCAGCATCCCCCAGTGGCTGGGGGTGCTGGGGCTGGGTCCTGCCAGCCAGCCCTACCTGTCCCACCTCACACCTGTGGGACTGGGGACCCCAGGGGCAGGAGCAGGGGTTCTGCGGCGCACAGTCTCTTGGCGAGGGCAGTGTGAATCTGCAGTAAACGCAGCAATACTGCCAGAGGCTGCCGGCCCCGGATGTGAAGCCCCCTCACGGTGGTCCCGGGCACATCGAAGAGCAATGCCTCCCAGGACACAGCGGCCAGAGCGGGGGACGGACGACGCCAGGCACTCACCTTGCTCGCAGTTCTTCCCGCCGAATTGGAGGGGACACTCACACAGGTACATGTTCCACCTGTTGACACAGGTACCCCCGTTCTGACAGCGCCTCCCGTCGCAGAAGTTCCTCCGGGCAGCGCAGCCTGGCAACACAGAGCATGCGGTGGAGCCGGACTCGGAGGAACCGCCGGGGTCCCCTGTGCCAGGCGTGGTGTGGGAAACCGGGACGGAACGGAAACGGGGCTGGACAGTAGGCAGGCCAGGTCTGAACGCCTCTGGCAGCGGCAGGAACGTGGGAACCGAGAAGGTGCTGAACACACTGCCCACATCTGGAGACGCCAGGGCTCCAGGCCATCACAGCGCCTGGCCCAGTCACCTGGTGACACATGCAAGACCCTAAGACCACGTGTGCCTCGGGTTAGCCGGCTGGGTCAGCGGCATCACGGCAACTCCAAACTGCAGAAACCCCAAACTGCAGAGACTGTGGGGCTGCACATCCAGCGAGCCTGGACTCTGGGGTCCACTCCCAGGAGCTGCCCACAGCTGGGCACACACACTCCTAAGAACAAGATGCCTCCCCAGGGAGCTGCAAGCAGTGCCTTCTGTGTGGCTTCAACGTCCAGCCAGATGCCACCACGGCAGCCCCGACGCCCCACTGGCCGCCCGTACCTTCCCTGGTGCCATTGTTAGCGATGAATCCAGCCATGTCCACGTTTTTGCCGTCGACCGACAGGTTCCGCATGCAGCCCACGAACTGCCGGTTGTGCACCGGGAAGTCTTCCGGCAGGTTGGGGACGCCCCCCAGGAGCAGAGGGCCGGTCAGATCCAGGGACCTGGGGAGGCAAAGCCGTGCTCTGTGATGTCCGGGCACAGGGGTGGCGAGGGGCGGCCATGGCGGGCTGGGCTCTGCAGTTGTCTCTGCAGCCTCTGCCACCAGAACTACTTCAGAAACCGAGCAGTCAGGCAGGCAGAGACTGGAGGGAGGGGCTCCCGCGTCTGGCGCTGTTGCTGGCTCCGCACGCCTCTGTGCCTCTGTTTCCTTGCACTTGTGTTCCGTCCTGACGATCTGGGTGTTTCATGCTCACTGGTGACCACCAAGTCCCGCCCACCCAGGCTGGTCCACACCCAGATAGGATGTGAGCATGGGGACCACGGGTCAAGGTCAAGGACTCTACTTTGGCCTCTAAGACCTTCCAAGAACAGGAACGGTCTCGAAGGGAGGCCAGAAGAAAATCAGAGTCCTGGTGAAACTCCAGGCAGCGGTGCGACCTCGGGCAACGGTCGTGGCCTCTCCAGGGCACCGTTTACTCCTCAGCGAAAGGGCCCCATCCCGCCTCCATCCCAGGTGGGCGGGATCAGACGAAACAGCAAGGGACTGTCCCCAGGGCCCTATGAGGTGCTTAGGATGTGCCAAGGTTATCTATGTGGTCTTCAAAAAGGCTATTCTGTGGTTAATTAGTGGCTTGTGCCTATAATCCCAGCACTTCAGGAGGCTGAGGCCAGAGAATTCCTTGAGCCCAGGAACTGGAGGCCAGCCTGGGCAACATAGGGAGACTTTGTCTCTACAAAAAATTAAAAAATTTTGCTGGGTGTGGTGGTGTGTGCCTGTGGTCCCAGCTACTCAGGAGGCTGTGGGGAGGAGGACAGCTTGAGCCCAGGAGGTCAAGGCTTCAGCGAGCTGGGATCCTGCCACCGTACTCCAGCCTGGGCAACAGAGCGAGACCCCATCTCAGGAAGAAAACAGAAATTAAAAATAAGCCTCTGGGATGAGCTGGGTGACACAGCGCTTCACTTTAACAGAGTCCTGGAGTCCCAGGTACCAGAATTTGCAGGGACAAAGCCAGTGATCTGTGAATACAGGGCCGGAGACCATCTCTGGGTCTACAAGCCAGGCCACCACAACCCTGGGGTCGGCATGGCCACTCTTGACAGATACTCAGGGGACTTAGTCTAGAAGGTTCTAATATGTCAGAGGGAAGGTACTCCAACCGTGGAGAGGAAGTCTGACTCCAGCCTGGACTGAGGTCACCAGGGGACTGCACCCGGAGTGACTGCATGGGGCCCTGCCTGGGGAAGGGCACAAGGTGGGCACGTTTGGGGGTGAGACCCCCAGGGCCTCCCCTCCCGGGATGCTCACTTTTTGGAGCCGGTCTGAGTGCCCTGGGCGGCACAGCTGTAGTTCCCGATGTCATTTCCAAAGCGCACAGCCATGGTTGTGTCACAGTTATCCACCGTCACCACGGCCATCTTCTCCCCGGATGGCCCATGGGGCAGGCCCAGGTGGCCGATGTTGGGCTGTCAGAAGAGAAAGCACAGAAGGCATCAGTGTGTTCTCCGCCAGTGCCCTCAGCAGGTGCACCCGTCACTCATGGAGCAGGGAGGACACGGCATGGGGTGGGCGGCACGTGGACAAGGGACAAAGAGTCCCGGCCTCCTGAGTTCCCCAGACTGGCCGTGCTGGGCTGCCCAGTGCCTCCTCAAGTCTGGCCTCCCAGAAACCTCAGAACATGCCTCGTTTGGATAAAGAGCTGGTGCCGATGGAACGAATTAAGATGCGGACTCCCTGGAGTGGAAGGGCCCTGATCGCAGATGACCGGCCTCCTCCCGAGAGGACAGATGCTGAGACGCAAAGGCACGCAGGGAGAAGCCGTGTGACCATGGAGGCGGCTGCTGGAGCGGCTTTCTACAAGCTAAGGGCCACCTGGGCCACCAACAGCTAGGAAAAGGCAGGAAGGGCACTTTCCTCGGGCCTTCAGAGGGGGCACAGCACTGCCCATGCCGTGACTTCAGACTTGTAAGCGCCTGACTGGGAAAGGATAGTGTCTGTTGTCTGAGCCACCCTGTCCATGGTACTCTGTGATGGTGGCCCCAGGAAATAAAGACAGCAGCTAACACCCAAGCCCTGCGGCCCCTCCTGTGGACCCCGCTTCTGCTCTTCTGGGGGAGTGCCTCCTGACCACAGCATCTGCTCAGGCTGCTGCTCCCCGACCCTGTGGCTCCTACAGATACCAGGAGGCTCCTGCTCCCCGACCCTGTGGCTCCTACAGATACCAGGAGGCTCCTGCCTGGCCTACAGATGACCCCACATCTCCCCTCTGAGGTGTGGAGCTCTCTGTCTGGGCCAGGAGCCCATTCCAGGGCTGGGTACAAGAGTTCTTCTGGAATCAGTGACCTCGGGTGAAGCCTCTCCCTTCTCAAAGAGACTGTGGTTTGCCATCCAGGGATGAACCCGCTTTCCCCAGGCAGCCCTCATGGGTCTCGCCTCCTGGTCAGTCCCTCCCAGGACCTGGAGATTATCCACCCAGCCAGCCTGAGATGCCCTTCCAGCAGGAAAAGCAGCACCAGCCCTGCACGACTCACGCTGGCTACGGAACTTAAGCATGTGGGTCAAAGTTCCAGAAACACAGTTGGAGCCAGCTCCCACTGGGACAGGTGACACAACGCCCTTCATCTGCACAACCTGGATGGCAAGACCTGCCTCCTGTGGGTGGCCACGACAAGGAGCCAGGAGATCGCCAGCGAAGTGCCACCGTGCCCACCATCGGCACACAATGTGCACCTGGGCCTCCCCTCCACCCCAGAGCGAGCCTTTTCTTCCAGTCCCAGCAGGGCCCCTCCCACCACCCGTATAAAGGATGGGTTCCATGACCCCTCTTGATAGTTCTGGGGTCAGTATGAGTTTATAGCACGATGCAATCTCATGCTTCTTTCTAATAACTTGGAAATAAGTTGTAAAAACATAGCATTTAGTTAAATCATCCTCAATGCCTTTTAATAGGAAAATAGCAACCACATAGGTCAATCAAAAAGAAGTCTTCAGTTTTTAATAGGAACAAAGTATCTATTTGATCAGGAAAACTAGGCTGAAAGGCAGGACCCAGAATGGAAACAGGAGCTCAGCCAGAGGGCCAAGCTGCACGACTTCCGGGGACCCTGGCCACCCAGGCAGCACCCCCTGCCTGGAGCTGTGCAGTGCGCAGCCCGCACAGCTGTGTGTGGCCACCCCAGCTGAGGCTTCTACTCCCCCTTACCCAGTCATCTAATGTGGATGAGACTCATCACTGTACCTCGATTTCTTTCTGTGCAAGGTAATGATTTCCTATTGGAACATGCGTCCTTTCTGTGGTACAGGGACTTTGAGGGTGGTATCAACAGAGACACATGAGTTTCCCACACACCCTTCTCGGTAAATCCGAGCGAGGCTCCTATCGTGCCTGGATCACCTTTCCATTTTTTTTTTTTTACACCAGCTGATGAAATCACAAGGTCTGATAAGCTGTCTCCTTCAAGATTTCACTTTTGGTTGCGCAGCGGGTAGGCGAGGGCATTCAAAATCGTCCCTGTCCTTGTTCTTACCACCACCCAGTTTGGAAAACGCTGGAGGTGCCCATTATGGGTGCTTCAGCGTCAGGTGCGATCCCAGGGAAAGAAGAGCCTCCCCTCGCTGTGTGAGCTCCACGTCTTCTTTGCAACTTATAATTTACATTTTTGGGGCCGGGCGTGAGACCTCTGGAGGAAAGGCATAAGTAGCATTTACACTGGGAAGGCTTTCATGAAACTAAGCCACTGTTTACAAAACCGTAGTTGTAAACTGCTGCTGGTTATCAAGGTTCAGAGCTACGGATTCAAGCAAAAACAGCAGGAGAGCGCAGCACTGACCCCTGCGAGACGCGCACTGCTAGGACACCTGACTTCAGTCTGGCCTTCGTGAATCAGAGCAGCAGGCAGTCACTGGTCTCTGACAGACAGCGCCCAACATGTGCTGCTGGGTTCTGACTCCAGAGAGATCTGCCGGCGGCCATCGGGTCAAAATAACAGCATTTTTGGCCAAAGAGCCAAATGTTCTCAGGTGGAGAGCAGCAAGAACCAGCAGGAGGGCACAGAGGAGCAGGGGACCTGTGGCGTCTGAGGTCCCTGTGGCTCAGAGGAGCAACCCAGCATCTGGATGGCCCATGCCTGTCATGTCGCCCTAGAACAGGTGCCGAGTGGGGCCCTAGTGTAAAATGCCCACCTCTCGGTGAGTCTGGGCTTAACATGCACACTGACATCTATCTACTCTGCGGTCAAGACCAGTGTTGGGGAGGCAGGGGTTGCATGAGCAGGGTGCTGTGGGTGACCTGAGACGCGCAAACGGGGTTCCCCAAAGTATTAAATGCAGAACTACCACGTGACCCAGCACCACCGCCCCCCCAGGCGTATATTCAAAAGAACTGAAAAGAAGAACTCAAAAACCAGTCCACAAGTGTTGATAGCATTATTATTTACAACTCACAAAACGTGGAAACCACTGAGGCGTCCATCAGTGGACTGGGAACACTGGGCAAACTGTGGCCCATCCCTGCACCAGAATCCCAGCCACCGAAAGGCACAAAGCACGGACATGCGACGAATCCCAGCCACCAAAAGGAACAAAACATGGACACGTGACAGTGTGGGGGCCCGGAACACACTGTGCTCAGTGAAAGAAGCCAGACACAAAAGGCCACACTCCGTGTGACTCCATTCCTGCGAAATGTCCAGGACACGAAAATCTAAACACAGAGCACACAGGTGCTGCCAGGGGCTGGGGAGGAGGATGGGGCGTGACTGCTAACGGCATGGGGTTTCCTTCTGGGTGATGAAAATGCTTTTTTTTGAGACAGAGTCTCGCTGTCACCCAGGTCGGAGTGCAGTGGCTGGCTCACTGCAACCTCTGCCTCCTGGGTTCAAGCAAATCTCCTGCCTCAGCCTCTCAAGTAGCTGGGACCACAGGTGCCCACTACCACGCCGGGCTAATTGTATATTTTTAGTAGAGATGGGGTTTCACCATGTTGGCCAGGCTGGTCTCAAACTCCTGACCTCAAGTGATCTGCCCACTTCAGTCCCCAAACTGCTGGGATTACAGGGCAACAGAGGGAGACTCCATCTCAACAACAACAACAACAGAAAGTTACTGTTGGTCAACTGATGGCATAAAAATATTTCAGATTTCAGTAGAGATGGCATGGCAGAATACTTTGAGTATACTAAATGCCACTTTAAAACTTAATGTTATGTGACCTTCACCTCCATAATGCAAAAAAAAAAAAAAGATTCCTGGGTGGTGGGCATCCTCCCCTCTCCAGCCACGTGCCACGCTCCACCTGGGTAACTTTTGGAAAGATCCAATTTTTCCCTCTAACATAGAAAATACCTTATTTGGCCCTCCTGCTGCGTGGCTACGAGTGACAAAATGCAGTCAGACAAGGACTTACTCTCCGTGAGGGGTCGGGAGACGCACGGACAGTGGCACAGACGGCTTGAATGGGGATGAGTTAAGACAGCAGCAGGTGTGTGCGCCCTGGGCTCAGTCGTCCTTTTCTGTCAAAGGAAGACGAAGCCCATCTCCGCTGAAAGGCCGGCGCAGAGCACGAGGAAGCAGAGGCGAGCCTGCCGGCGGTGACAGCTCCAGACTCGGGAGCGCTGCGTCCACCTCCCTCCGAGTTGCGCAGAGAGAAAGCAACTCGAGCAGCTGCTGCAGAACACCGGCGTGGAGGCTTCCGGCCGGGAAAAGCACGTGGCGGCTTGGCTGGGCCACAGCCGACGATGAACGGTACAGGTCGGAGTGGGATAAGGAACGAGACAGATGAAGCGCCCCTCACATTTCTAAAAGGAATTTTTAAACTTTGCCGCTTTTTATACAAAAGAAAAAGCATGGGAATGATGGCAGCCAAAGGGTTGTGTCTGAGTTTTCCTCAATTCTTGTGTTGGAAGACTCCGGGCACAGGCTGGGCAAAGGCCAGCACGGTGGAGGCACCAGCGCCCTGGCCCCTGCCCTCCCAGGGCTCAGCTGGGTCCTGCACGGCAGCCAGCCAGGCCCAGAGGACACCCCCTCAACCCCTGCACCAACACCCCTTGGAGAAAAGGCCTCAATTCCCAGGCCGTAAAGCTCAGCAGCCGGGCCTGGTCACTCAGGCCGAGCAAGGCGGGTGCCACACACAGCGACTGGAGATGCATACAGCAGGACCTGCCCTCAGCGGGCAGCCCTGGCCGGCACAGGCTCCCAGGGGCAGGCGGAAACAGAGCTAGCAAAGAAAGGCCACATGCTCAATCCCACTGTCACCTGAGAAAAATCCTACGGCGCCACTGAGCATGGCAAGGAGCAGCCCAGAGGTGCCAGGCTGTGCAGATCCGGATTCTTGCTCCAGGAGTCATCCCTGGGGTCCAGCCCCTTTTTATTTTCCTTCAAGGTATTTTCTTTCCTCACTCAGGCCCTCCCTCTTGGCTTCCACTCAGCCGCTCGACACGGTGCAGGGAGTTTTTGTGTGTGCACAAAA